CTGGAACCACTCGCGGAGCTGGAGACGAGTAGCGCGGATCCAGGGGATCAAAACATCAGGGACCTCCCCCTTGCTGCGCAAGGGGAAGACCGTGGTGTAACGCGTGTAGTCGTCGACGACCAGCAGGAAGTACCGCTCGTGGCCCTGTCCACGGACGCGGGCTGGGCCCCACACGTCCAGGTGGAGAGTCTGCAAGGGAGCCTCTGTGGGAGGGAACGAGGAGGAGTGAGGAGCGGCGTGCTGCCGCCCCTCGACACAGGGAAGACAGGGAGGAGCAGGCGAGGGCGGTAGAGGAGGCAGAGTCTCTGGAAGTCCAGAGACAAGGAAACGGCTGTGCATGCGACGAAGGCGCTGCACCGAGGGGTGACCAAGGCGGTGGTGCCACAGGACGGTCTGGTGCGACAAAGCGCGACACGAACAGGGGGCCGCTAGCTGACCTGACGCAAACGCAGACGCAGACGCAGCTACCTAAGGGGACACAGTGGTCAGTGTGTACAGACTCGAGCCAGGCTCTCGGGTGAACGTGGCCAGGTGCCGACCAGTCCTGGAGCACGTACAGTGGGTCACACGCTGACCTCCAGGGGTGAACTGGTCAACCCACACATCCTGTAGGTCAGCTCCACTCACCAAGTTCGTAGAGAACGAGGGGAGGTGAAGACCTGACAGGGAGCCAGACGGGACCGCCGGACACGGCAGGACCGTGGAGGATTGCGCAAGGACTGGACCCCCAGAGGGGTCTGCCAGTGAGACTGCAACTGGCCGACGGAGCGGCGTGAGTGTGGTGTTGTCGCGAAAGAAGGAGCGGGGAGCACCTGAGTCAAGTGTGAAGGTGTACACGGCCTCAGCAGGCGCAGTACCAGAGAGAGCACACTCACCAGCACCTGGAGCAGGAGACGCACGAGCACCTAGAGCAGCAGCCTCACCAGCACCTAGCGCAGGAGACGCACTAGCACCTAGAGCAGCAGCCTCTATACCTGGGTCAGGCGGTACGCACAGGGAACAGGCACGGTCATCACTAGTAGGCAATGCATATATGGCAGTAAGAATAGCATCATAGTCAAGAGCAAAGATATCTACCCCCTTCCCAAGCAGCTCCAGCCAGGTGGGGAGCTCAGCCTCGTCACCAAACTCTGTGCGCCAGGCGTCGCTCAAACGGGCGAAGCAGCGGGACTGGGTGTGACCAAGTGTCCCGCAAGCCTGACCAGACCGATCACCTGTGCGTGGGACGTACGGGCAGCGAACGGTACTCCGAGACCCTCGACTCTGAGCGTACCACTCGTGAAGCTGCCGGGACGTAAGTGTCTCGCGCGGACGCCGCTGCAGCTGCAACTGGCCACTGCCAGACGCTCCCGACCGACCAGCTCCAGGGCGACAGTCACGACGGCTACCGCCACAACCCCAACTAGCGTACCACTCACGAAGCTGCTGAGGCGTGAGAGACTCGCGCGGGCGTCGCTGGAGCTGCATCTGGCCACCGCCAGTAGCAACAGTAGCAGCAGCAGCTCGGGCAGGGCAGGCGCGGCAGGAGTGGCAGGCAGGCAGGCAGGTAGACAGGCAGGCAGAGGGCGCTGCAGTGCGCGAACAAGGCAGGTGCTCACCAGTGGCGGGCAGGGCCGGCTCTCGGCGGGCGACGGCAGGGGAGGCGCACGACGGCGGCGACGGCGGGGCCGCAGCAGCAGCTGCAGAGTAGGGCCGCGGCAGGTGCAGGGCGGGGCCGCGTCAGCTGCAGGGCGAGGCCGCGGCAGCGGCAGGTCGGGGCCGTGTCCGCTGCAGGGCGGGGCCGCGTCAGCGGCAGGTCGGGGCCGCGTCAGCTGCAGGGCTGGCGGGGCCGCGTCAGCGTCCGGGCGGGGCCGTGTCGGCGGCAGGGCGCGGCCGCGGCAGAAGCAGGTGGGTCGCGGCGCGCGGGGCTGCAGCGCGACGCGCGGGCAGCGGTCGCGGCGCGCGGGGCTGCAGCGCGACGCGCGGGGCTGCAACGCGCCGCGCGGGCTGCAGACGCGGCGCGCGAAGCAGCAGCGAGCCGCGCGCGGGCTGCCGAGGCGCGACTCGGGCAGGGTGGGCGACGCGGTGGGCAAAAAAAGAGCCGCGCGCAGGAATTAGGTCTGCGCGCTCTAAGCAGCAGCAGATCGCACAGTTAGCAGACAGTAGGCAGCAGGCAGACGGCGCGCGCAGCGCAGCACGTCACAGGCACAGTCAGTCACAGTCACAGTCGTGGGGTAGCGGTAGGTGGGCCCGAAAAAAAAAACGGTCCTACGGACCTACTGCTCTGAAACCATGTCAGAATCAAGAGACAGGAATGAATGAACTATGAAAGAATTGGGTACAAGTATGAAACCCTAAAAGGGGCTGTACCCCATATTGGCTACCCCACTACAGCCTACACATATACAACATGCATATGCTTTGACAGCCCTCCGCGCCGCCCTGCCCCCGCACTGCCCTCACCTGACATCCCGCCAGGAAGTGACCCTTGGGACACCATCGACTAGGGGAACGAGCCGTCAACTCCGCGACGCACCGACTACGGGCCTGCCCTCGAGCCACGCGAACCAACCTTCTTCCCGGGAACCATCCCTGGAACCAATATTCCCCTCTCTGTTATTCTTGACAGGGAATTCCTCGCGCTAATGTTAACGACGGCGAACGAAGAAGAAGAAGCAGAAGAAGCAGCGGCGACACCTGCTCAAGCACCTGATGAGGATCCCGCAGAAGCACTCGCACGCTACATGCGCACCTCCGGATTTCGCGCTGACGATGCCATCTGGCACCAGCGCCTAGGTCACCCCTCGCGCGTGACTCTTAAGAACTGCATCGAGGCCGGCGTATTCGCGCCTGGCGCACTCCTGCGCCCTGATGGCACCGAAGTAAGGGGCGCGACACATCCGCGCAACTGCACCGTCTGCCCTGAAGCCGCACTGAGCCACCAGCCGTTCCCCCTGCTAGAGCCCGGAACCAACCGGTACACCAAACTGGAGAAGGTGTACAGCGACTTCCTCAACGTGGGACACTGCGGCATCAACGACGAACTCTACACACTCACCTTCATTGACGCCGGAACGTGCTACGTGTGGGATTTACGCACTTGTTGCGAATAGTGATTATTGGAGTATCACTGTGCACTCCTTACCGCAGCAATCGAATCACGCACTACCGAGAATGAAGGCGAAGGGACGGAAGAGACGCGAAGGGTCGCACGGTTACGAAGGGATCTGGACCGTCGGGCAGACAGCATCAGGCAGCAGCAGTGGTGAGGATTATGCCCTGACAGTTTCGTAACTGGCTGGAGTCGCACGGTTGGATTTCGATGTAATAAGGGAATGTACCCCTTAGAGTACATGGCTAGCTAGGTCGTTTGGCATTCCCTTGTAATCTTATTTATAATGTTGTATTTGCATGTTTTTATCATCTCAAGCATTTTACATTCACTCTGCTATTGAGGTCAAGGGCCCACCACTACACAACTGTGTGCGAACCTTCCTGAGGTGATCCTAGGCACGATCAACTTCTGATCGCAACAGCACTTTCTCTATATTTTATTGCTGTTTTACGTTAATGTGATTGTGGAATGCTACCTTTTTATCTATCTTAGGATTATTATCTGTACGTTATACATAAATGGAGCACCTCTTGTGACTTTCACCCATTCAACCGCCGCTTGTGTTGTGGCTAGTCAGCTCTTATGAGGTCAAGGCGAATGCAGAGGAATCTTGCTGCTGGTGCAGCGAATATGGTGGCATCAAAGCATCACGCTAGTCTAGTTCAGAGAATCAAGCAATGCTTTCCCAATCACAGTGCGCCTCTTGGCACATCCTACGTACCGCATTCCCATGTCAGGCTGTCATCCTAGCTTTATCGCGGATCCATTGCTTCGGCTCTTGTCCACTTGTCCTTTCCAGCCTGGCCGGCACAGTTGTTTGACCTTTCCCAGGGTCCTCGAAACAACAGACAATCTCTTTTCAGATGCTTCCGGTCCGTCCATCCTCGCCGTTCATCCATTATGACGCTCTCGCAATAGAGCTTGAGATACCGAAATATGGGAGATAATCTTCGACCCAAGGTGAGGAGTCATGGACATTTGCGAAGTGGGTGAAACCGTGGTGGGATTCGAATTCTACGATCAGGATTGATCAAGCCGCGCTTACGTATGACTCGGGCAAAAAGGCATCGGCCGCCTTTTGCTGCGTCGGCAGCGTTACAGATTTTAGCGAAATGGTCCAGTCTGCCAACAACACGGTGTACGCTCTGAAGCAGCTGAGCGCCGTTGATGCTCCAGCCAAGCATCCCATCCCTCTGTTTCGCTCTTCCCCACGTCCACACGATGCTAGGAATCTTCCGAAACTCTGCAATCACACACTACTGTTCAATCAGAAGCGATACAGTTCTGTTTCACAGCCTGTGGGAACAAGCAAGTGGTGGAGTCCAGAAGCAAGGGATGGAGTCTCACAAAAGCGTTCTGTCATGCCCTGGCTCACGCCAAAAAGCTTCTCCTTTTCGGATCCTTCTCTTTGATCCACTCAGCTGTTGGTAGCTGCTGCTCCTGTGCTAAAATCGCTGGTGCCGATATTCCCCTACCATCCTGAGAGTCTTAGCCTAGCCTTAGCCTAAGCTGAGCTTGGCAGTCTCAATCGTGAATTCCTGCTGTCTCCGGCTCCTGCGGTCTCCCATTAGAGAATTGTGTCATCACCTCACGAGATTTCGAGCTTCAGCCTAGCCGGCTGCACATTCTGGGGTTTTTGAGAAGCTTCAGCTTCGCTCTCCGCCTCCCCTGCTGCGCCAGCTTCCTGTTCCTCAACGCATCGCTCCCTCAGAGGAGTGCCGCTCTTGTTGTTCCACCACAGATTCAATCAATCCAGGTCTTTTACTCTCTTTGACTTCTAATATATCTCCCTCACCAGCACCTTGCTGTAACACGAGGGGCCAGGGCTGACAGAATTGAACTCTGGAAGACTGAGGGAGCCAAGACAGTAGCAAGTCTGTGGAGAGCAAAGGGGACAACAGCAGCCATGGCTGTTCGACCGGACGTTCTTCTGAATCAGATGGCCGGCGTTGATAGCAGTGACTCGGCCGTGCCTCCACTAATCAGCGATTTTCATCTGCCACACGGCCTTCTGGCTGGACCAACTCAATCCCCTTACACAGCAGCGTGCATTTCTCCCGCACTCCTCTGGGGTCCTCTCTCTGTATCAGCAGAGTCCGAATGTGCAGCAGCAGTGGATGCAGCAGCAGCAGCAGTGGCAGCAACAACGAGTGCAGCAGCACTGGAGGCGTTCGCAGACGAGAACGACAACATCGAGGCGGCGATCAGCGCGCTACAGGACAAGATCTGCGAGCTGCAGTCTCGCCTTCTCCTCCCGGGCCTTCTAAACCCGAGCACACACGCCGCTGACACGCCCGCACACGCGCGTGCTGCGTCCACATGCGCAGAGGCCGTGGTTGAAGGTGCCTTTCCAAGGCACTTGAGTGGTGGTAGCAGCGATGTGGGCGTTCTGGAGGAAGCATTGAGCCGGAGTGCCTCCAAGGGTTCCACCCTGGACGACTCGCTTCTGCTGGATGCCTTGCTCTCTCACGCTCTGCCGGCACAACCGCTGCCGGCACAATCAGCAACCGAAGGTGCCTTTGCGCGCAGCGGTAGCAGCAGCGGTGTGAGCGCGCTGAGGCTGCCAGTAGCAGCATTGAGGCAAAGCCCTTCCAAGGGTTCTACCCTGGACCCCTCGCTCCTGCTGGATACCGTGCTCTCTCACGCTCTGCCGGCACAACAGCTGCCGGCGCAACCGCTGCTGGCACAACCAGTGGTCGACGGTGCCTTGGCGCGCAGCGGTAGTAGCAGTGATGCGGCGAGCGCGCTGAGGCTGCCAGAGGAAGCAGCAGCATTGAGGCGGAGTGCATCATCCAGAGGCTCCACCCTGCACCACCCCTCGCTCCTGCTGGATGCCATGCTTGCAGACGCCGCTTTGCTGCCACAACCGCTAGTACTAACGGCTGAGCCAGCGCCGGCAGAGTCTCTGCCAGCAGAGTCTCTGCCGGCAGAGTCCGTGCCAGAAGAACCAATGGTTGCTGAGTATTCGCCGCCTGCACCTGATGATCCGCCTGCGTGCCCCATGGAGCCTCCAAGGACCGGTGGTAAGCGGCCGCGATCGCCGCTATTGATGCTGCCCGATGGCCTGAGTCAGCATCGGCATAGCCATCACCATCAGCAGCAGCATGAGCACGCGCATGGACCATATGTGCATGATGATTTTCGGAGGCATTATGAGGACTGGCAGGGCCTCTCGTCTCCTGTCATACCCACATCCTGCCCCTCTCCGTGCTCCCCACGCCCGGGTCGCTTCAGCCCTCCCAGCCTTGCGTCCCTTGACCTTCGCTGCTTTGCCCGTATGCCTGAGGCGAGCCCTCACGGCACGGCTTTGGACTCGTCTCTGCAGTATTACCGTGACATGAACCTGCAGCACCACTCGACGACCTGGCAGGTCGACGGTACCCACACGCCCGAGGCAAGTCCCCAGACTGCTCTGGACTCGTCCCTGCAGTATCACCGTGACATGCACCGGCAGCACCACTCAACGACCTGGCAGGTCGACGGTACCCACACGCCCGAGGCGAGCCCCCAGACTGCTCTGGACTCGTCCCTGCAGTATCACCGTGACATGCACCGGCAGCACCACCCAACGACCTGGCAGGTCGACGGTACCCACACTGAGGCGAACCCTGACAGTGCCGAGGAGTTTTTCATCCAGCAGCACTTGCACCAGCAGTACCAGCAGTACCTGCACCAGCAGCACCTGCCCCAGCAGCACCCGTCCCAGAAAAACCCATCCCAGCAAAACCCACTCCATAAAAACCCATTCCAGCAAAGCCCATCCCAGCAGCACCCCTCCCAGCAGCACCCACCCCAGCAGAATCCACCTCCGAATCACCTACCCCATCAGCACTTGGCTCGCTTGTGCCTGGACCAGATGCGTCAGCAGAAGGGACAGCACTCACCAGTCGTTGAAGCCTGCTCGCCCCGCTTCCTGCCTCCTCGTAGGCCGTCCCTTTCTCGCCAGTCCATGTCCCCCGGGTCTCCTCTGTCCCGCTGCTCTTCCTTGGGAGCGGGCAGCGGAGGCAAGGGCTCCACTTGCTTTGCTCCAGTGCAACGCCATGAAGACGTGCCGCAGCAGCAGCAGCAGCAGCAGCAGCAGCAGCACGGGCCGAATCCGCATGCGCAACAGCGGCAGCAGCAGCAGCTGGCGCTGCTTGAAGCCGGCACGCCGAAGCAGCAGTGGGGGAAGGCTCGTGTTTTCAAACAAACCTCACCCTCAGCAGCACTCTTCCCTCCAGGAGCAATGCCGGCAGCACTAGCGATGGTTAGAGGAGGCGAGAGAGCAACAAGAGCAGCAGCAGCAGCAGCCGATATGACTCTGCGAGCCGTTCAGCCGAAGCAGCGGCGGCTGCTGGCGAAGCCCACACTTCACAGCACAAGCACAGGTGACTTGCCTGTCGCATGCTCCCACAGTGAAGCAAACGACTTGGTGGTGTTGGGGCCGGTGGCAGCAGCTGTGAAGGCCCACTCGCTGGACAGCCACCCGCTCATCCCCTCCTTGACCCTCCCTGGCGCCTGTGTGAGCCCCAGCGCCCTGCCACCGCACCTTGCCGCCTCCGAGATTGCCGCTCGCATCCGAAGGACTCGACCTCTGGCACAGAGCACAGGACCGATGCAGGTATCCATGCCTGATGCTTCTCCATCCCCAGATGGCCCTGGAATGATACCAGGGGATACCGGTACCTGCCCCACGGCTTTTTACCACTTGGCACCATGCTCCACCGGTTACAACCACCAGCTTCCACACTATCAAGGCGTGAATGCATTTCCCCTCGGGGAGTGGCCTGCTGTCCAGTGCCTGCCCGATGTGAATTTTAACCCGCCCCTCAGCGGGAGAAAGCGGGCTGGCCGAAAGCCTTCTGCTGGCAAGTTTGTGAAGCTTGCTCCTGCCCAGCTCACTCCGGCTAGAGTCCCCTGCACTAGGCTTCGCCCGTCCAAGCTCATATCAATTGCTCCGGCACCAGTCACCTGATTGGCACTCCACGGTGCTATTCTATATTCTTTTTTTGTGTGCCGCCAATAAATGAATCTGGACTTCAAGGTGCAAGTGCATGTATTTGTATTGATTATTTATTGTGTAATACTAATAATGATATGTAAACGATTAATAACAATGGTGGCTCTTGTTCAGCGTCTGGCACCACCGTTATGACTGCACATCACCCATTTCCAACATCGAGACTTTCTAAATCCGGACCTCGCAGATTCTCCCTCTAACTTTGCATAACGAAGGCATAACCACCATCTGCTAGTGAGGTGGACTTCTGAGAGTCATCGTCGACGGGTTGACTCCATCAGCTTTCGTTGAATCGAACGCGTCTATGACGGGAATGAAGTCACCCTAGGCTAGCAAACTCGTGGCGACGAACGCGTATCGTCGCAATGCCTTCCTCTGCGCCTGGATCGAGCGAGTCCAGTGCCAATAGTTCGACGCCTATATTGAGTAGCTATTTTCACAGTGACTATATCGGGGATGTCTTCTCGGATCCACGTGTCTGGTCGCTAGCCGCCGGTGCTGTCGCGTTAGCTGCGCCTGTCGCGCTGGGTCTCCGCGCGCTATTAAAGCCGTCCGGCGGACCGCAAAAGGTCACGATCCCGGTTATACCGCCGGCTGCACACCAGCAGCTGCTGACGTGGCAGCAGCAGCAGAGACTGCGGACGTGGCAGACGCGGCGAAACGCGTACGCAATCGCCCTGCAGAAGCAGGAAGAGCAGCAGCAGCAGCAGCAGCATGAGAGTGCGGCGGAGAGCTGGGGGGACGGAGTACGGGGTGCGGCGGAGGGAGAGGGAGAAGAGAGAGGGGGAGAGTTGGGCGTAGAGGTAAGGGATGGAGGGACAGGAGGAGCGGTAACAGGGGGAGCAGATAGGGCAGCGGGGGCAGAGGCGGCAGAGGAAGCAGGGGGGGCAGAGGTAGCAGAGGGGGACAACACAGGAGAGGGGAGCGAGGCGGCGGTGGATGCGGCAGTGGCGGCGGTGAACCAGGCGGGTCAACGGCTACTTCTCATGATGCGATCCGTCGACAAGCACCTCTCCTTCTGGCGCCGCCTCGCCCTCGCGTCGCCCTCGCAGCAGCTCTGGATCGTGCTCTTCCGACGCGGCCCGCTCGCATTCCTCCACACCTCCCTCTCGCTCTCTCTCTCACTCGCTCTCTCCGCCGCCAACCGATACCTCCTCCCCTTCCTCCCCTCTCCCACCCTTCCCGCTTCCTCCTCCTCCTCCTTTTCTCCTCCCGCCTCTCCTTCCTCGAACCTCGTCCCGCCTAGCTCTCCCCAGTCCTCCCACTCACTTTCTGCAAATCGCATTCTGACACGTGTCAAGCAGCCGCTCTCCCCACTTATAACCCGCCTCGCCTCTCTCTTAGCGCCTCTCTATCGCTTCCTCTCTGCCCTCTGGATCTCCCTACAAACCGTCCCCCTCCTCCCCCTCTCCACCCTCCCTCACCCCCCTAAACCCCTGCAAAATCTTATCTCAGATCTGAGCACATTCGGTTCCAAAACCTTAAACCTCAACTTGAAAACCCTCAACCTCAAACCCTTTTTCTTTGTCCATCTACACCGCCTGAGTTCGTTTTTGCCGAGCCTTACGTCAGCAGAGGGCGTGCTGCTAGGCCTGGCAGCGCCGAGCCTGCAGGGCTTGGTTCGGGAGATGGTGGCAGAGAAAGTGGCGGTTCTGGGGGAGGTGCAACTGGCTCTGAGCGCCGCTGCTGGGCAGGTAAGGGAGAAGCGGAGGTTGGGGAGTGGAAGGATGGATTATGGGGGTTCGTGGGGCTGGTTGTTGTGGGCATGGGAAGCGTATTGCCTCATCTCCCCACTCCGTCTCCTTCTCTCCTCACCTCCCCTCTGCCACAGGTCTACCTATCGTCAGCTGTCATCCCTGCCCCATCCTCCCTCGCCCTCTCCACCCTCACGCTCACCACCACCATCAGCAGCAGCAGCAGCAGCTTGAGCACATCTCCTCCCGACCCCCTCGCTCTGCTCTCCACTATCCTACACGCCTGCCACGTGGCAGTCACACAGGCCTCAGGGATCGACGGGGAGAAGCCCACCTCAGGAGCAGGGGGGCGGGAGGGGACGGTGGAGAGTGGTGGTGCTTGTAACGAAGCAGTCAGTAACGAGGCAGGAGGGGAGTTGGGCGGTGCTGGGTTAGTAGCAGCAGATGGCAGCGGGCTAAGTGTTTCAACACAAGGAGCAGTGCCTGCTGCTGCAGTGGTTTCACCAGCCGTTGTGTGTGGGCAGGCAAAGCAGCTGAACGAGGATGTGAAGGGTCTTGAGAAACTGGTCTCTGCTGTGGTGGGTGCCGGCTGGAGTGGGAACTGATGGGGTGGGAACTGATGGGGTGGGAACTGATGGGGTGGGAACTGATGGGGTGGAAACTGATGGGATGGAAACTGATGGGGTGGAAACTGATGGGGTGGGAACTGATGGGGTGGGAACTGATGGGGTGGAAACTGATGGGGCGGAAACTGATGGGGTGGAAACTGATGGGGTGGAAACTGATGGGATGGAAACTGATGGGGTGGAAACTGATGGGGTGGGAACTGATGGGGTGGGAACTGATGGGGTGGAAACTGATGGGGTGGAAACTGATGGGGTGGAAACTGATGGGGTGGAAACTGATGGGGTGGAAACTGATGGGGTGGAAACTGATGGGGTGGAAACTGATGGGGTGGAAACTGATGGGATGGAAACTGATGGGGTGGAAACTGATGGGGTGGAAACTGATGGGGTGGGAACTGATGGGGTGGGAACTGATGGGGTGGGAACTGATGGGGTGGAAACTGATGGGGTGGAAACTGATGGGGTGGAAACTGATGGGGTGGAAACTGATGGGGTGGGAACTGATGGGGTGGGAACTGATGGGGTGGGAACTGATGGGGTGGAAACTGATGGGGTGGAAACTGATGGGGTGGAAACTGATGGGGTGGAAACTGATGGGGTGGAAACTGATGGGATGGAAACTGATGGGGTGGAAACTGATGGGGTGGAAACTGATGGGGTGGAAACTGATGGGGTGGGAACTGATGGGGTCAAACTGATGGGGTGGGAACTGATGGGGTGGGAACTGATGGGGTGGGAACTGATGGGGTGGGAACTGATGGGGTGGGAGCTTATGGGGTGGGAACTGATGGGGTGGAAACTGATGGGGTGGGAACTGATGGGGTGGAAACTGATGGGGTGGGAACTGATGGGGTGGGAACTGATGTGGTGAAACTGATGGGGTGAAACTGATGGGGCGAAACTGATGGGGCGAAACTGATGGGGCGAAACTGATGGGGCGAAACTGATGGGTTGAAACTGATGGGGCGAAGCTGATGGGGCGAAACTGATGGGGCAAAACTGATGGGGTGAAACTGATGGGGCGAAACTGATGGGGCGAAACTGATGGGGCGAAACTGATGGGGCGAAACTGATGGGTTGAAACTGATGGGGCGAAGCTGATGGGGCGAAACTGATGGGGCGAAACTGATGGGGCGAAACTGATGGGGCGAAACTGATGGGGCGAAACTGATGGGGCGAAACTGATGGGGCGAAACTGATGGGGCGAAACTGATGGGGTGAAACTGATGGGGCGAAACTGATGGGGCGAAACTGATGGGGTGAAACTGATGGGGTGAAACTGATGGGTGGGGTGAAACTGATGGGGTGAAACTGATGGGGTGAAACTGATGGGGCGAAACTGATGGGGTGAAACTGATGGGTGAAACTGATGGGGTGAAACTGATGGGGTGAAACTGATGGGGTGAAACTGATGGGGTGAAACTGATGGCTGAAACTGATGGGCTGAAACTGATGGGGTGAAACTGATGGGTGAAACTGATGGGGTGAAACTGATGGGGCGAAACTGATGGGGTGAAACTGATGGGGTGGAAACTGATGGGGTGAAACTGATGGGGTGAAACTGATGGGGTGAAACTGATGGGGTGAAAACTGATGGGGTGAAACTGATGGGTGGGGTGAAACTGATGGGTGGGGTGAAACTGATGGGGTGAAACTGATGGGTGAAACTGATGGGGTGAAACTGATGGGGTTGAAACTGATGGGGTGAAACTGATGGGTGAAACTGATGGGGTGAAACTGACGGGGCGAAACTGATGGGGTGAAACTGATGGGGCGAAACTGATGGGGTGAAACTGATGGGGTGAAACTGATGGGGTGAAACTGATGGGGTGAAACTGATGGGGTGAAACTCATGGGTGGGGTGAAACTGATGGGTGGGGTGAAACTGATGGGGTGAAACTGATGGGTGGGGTGAAACTGATGGGGTGAAACTGATGGGTGGGGTGAAACTGATGGGGTGAAACTGATGGGTGGGGTGAAACTGATGGGGTGAAACTGATGGGGCGAAACTGATGGGGCGAAACTGATGGGGTGAAACTGATGGGGCGAAACTGATGGGGCGAAACTGATGGGGTGAAACTGATGGGGTGAAACTGATGGGTGGGGTGAAACTGATGGGGTGAAACTGATGGGGCGAAACTGATGGGGTGAAACTGATGGGTGAAACTGATGGGGTGAAACTGATGGGGTGAAACTGATGGGGTGAAACTGATGGGGTGAAACTGATGGGGTGGAAACTGATGGGTTGAAACTGATGGGGTGAAACTGATGGGGTGAAACTGATGGGGTGAAACTGATGGGGCGAAACTGATGGGTGAAACTGATGGGGTGAAACTGATGGGGTGAAACTGATGGGGTGAAACTGATGGGGTGAAACTGATGGGGTGAAACTGATGGGGTGAAACTGATGGGTGGGGTGAAACTGATGGGTGGGGTGAAACTGATGGGGTGAAACTGATGGGTGGGGTGAAACTGATGGGTGGGGTGAAACTGATGGGGTGAAACTGATGGGTGGGGTGAAACTGATGGGGTGAAACTGATGGGGCGAAACTGATGGGGTGAAACTGATGGGTTGAAACTGATGGGGTGAAACTGATGGGGTGAAACTGATGGGGTGAAACTGATGGGGTGAAACTGATGGGTGAAACTGATGGGGCGAAAACTGATGGGGTGAAACTGATGGGTTGAAACTGATGGGGTGAAACTGATGGGTGAAACTGATGGGTTGAAACTGATGGGTGAAACTGATGGGGTGAAACTGATGGGGTGAAACTGATGGGGTGAAACTGATGGGTGGGGTGAAACTGATGGGGTGAAACTGATGGGTGGGGTGAAACTGATGGGGTGAAACTGATGGGGCGAAACTGATGGGGTGAAACTGATGGGTTGAAACTGATGGGGTGAAACTGATGGGGTGAAACTGATGGGGTGAAACTGATGGGGTGAAACTGTTGGGTTGAAACTGATGGCTGAAACTGATGGGCTGAAACTGATGGGGTGAAACTGATGGGTGAAACTGATGGGGCGAAACTGATGGGGCGAAACTGATGGGGTGAAACTGATGGGGCGAAACTGATGGGGTGAAACTGATGGGGTGGAAACTGATGGGGTGAAACTGATGGGGTGAAACTGATGGGGTGAAACTGATGGGGTGAAACTGATGGGTGAAACTGATGGGGCGAAAACTGATGGGGTGAAACTGATGGGTTGAAACTGATGGGGTGAAACTGATGGGTGAAACTGATGGGTTGAAACTGATGGGTGAAACTGATGGGGTGAAATTGATGGGGTGAAACTGATGGGGTGAAACTGATGGGTGGGGTGAAACTGATGGGGTGAAACTGATGGGTGGGGTGAAACTGATGGGGTGAAACTGATGGGGCGAAACTGATGGGGTGAAACTGATGGGTTGAAACTGATGGGGTGAAACTGATGGGGTGAAACTGATGGGGTGAAACTGATGGGGTGAAACTGTTGGGTTGAAACTGATGGCTGAAACTGATGGGCTGAAACTGATGGGGTGAAACTGATGGGTGAAACTGATGGGGTGAAACTGATGGGGCGAAACTGATGGGGTGAAACTGATGGGGTGGAAACTGATGGGGTGAAACTGATGGGGTGAAACTGATGGGGTGAAACTGATGGGGTGAAAACTGATGGGGTGAAACTGATGGGTGGGGTGAAACTGATGGGGTGAAACTGATGGGTGGGGTGAAACTGATGGGGTGAAATCGATGGGTGTAACTGATGGGGTGAAACTGATGGGGTGAAACTGATGGGGTGAAACTGATGGGGTGAAACTGATGGGGTGGAAACTGATGGGGTGGAAACTGATGGGGTGAAACTGATGGGGCGAAACTGATGGGGTGAAACTGATGGGGTGGAAACTGATGGGTTGAAACTGATGGGGTGAAACTGATGGGTGAAACTGATGGGGTGAAACTGACGGGGCGAAACTGATGGGGTGAAACTGATGGGGCGAAACTGATGGGTGAAACTGATGGGGTGAAACTGATGGGGTGAAACTGATGGGGTGAAACTGATGGGGTGAAACTGATGGGGTGAAACTGATGGGGTGAAACTCATGGGTGGGGTGAAGCTGATGGGTGGGGTGAAACTGATGGGGTGAAACTGATGGGTGGGGTGAAACTGATGGGGTGAAACTGATGGGTGGGGTGAAACTGATGGGGTGAAACTGATGGGTGGGGTGAAACTGATGGGGTGAAACTGATGGGTGGGGTGAAACTGATGGGGTGAAACTGATGGGGCGAAACTGATGGGGCGAAACTGATGGGGTGAAACTGATGGGGCGAAACTGATGTGGCGAAACTGATGGGGTGAAACTGATGGGGTGAAACTGATGGGTGGGGTGAAACTGATGGGGTGAAACTGATGGGGCGAAACTGATGGGGTGAAACTGATGGGTGAAACTGATGGGGTGAAACTGATGGGGTGAAACTGATGGGGTGAAAGTGATGGGGTGAAACAGATGGGGTGGAAACTGATGGGTTGAAACTGATGGGTGGGGTGAAACTGATGGGGTGAAACTGATGGGGCGAAACTGATGGGGCGAAACTGATGGGGTGAAACTGATGGGGCGAAACTGATGTGGCGAAACTGATGGGGTGAAACTGATGGGGTGAAACTGATGGGTGGGGTGAAACTGATGGGGTGAAACTGATGGGGCGAAACTGATGGGGTGAAACTGATGGGGTGAAACTGATGGGGTGAAACTGATGGGGTGAAACTGATGGGGTGAAACTGATGGGGTGAAACTGATGGGGTGAAACTGATGGGTGGGGTGAAACTGATGGGTGGGGTGAAACTGATGGGGTGAAACTGATGGATGGGGTGAAACTGATGGGGTGAAACTGATGGGTGGGGTGAAACTGATGGGGTGAAACTGATGGGGCGAAACTGATGGGGTGAAACTGATGGGTTGAAACTGATGGGGTGAAACTGATGGGGTGAAACTGATGGGGTGAAACTGATGGGGTGAAACTGATGGGTGAAACTGATGGGGCGAAAACTGATGGGGTGAAACTGATGGGTTGAAACTGATGGGGTGAAACTGATGGGTGAAACTGATGGGTTGAAACTGATGGGTGAAACTGATGGGGTGAAACTGATGGGGTGAAACTGATGGGGTGAAACTGATGGGGTGAAACTGATGGGGTGAAACTGATGGGGTGAAACTGATGGGTGGGGTGAAACTGATGGGGTGAAACTGATGGGTGAAACTGATGGGGTGAAACTGACGGGGCGAAACTGATGGGGTGAAACTGATGGGGCGAAACTGATGGGTGAAACTGATGGGGTGAAACTGATGGGGTGAAACTGATGGGGTGAAACTGATGGGGTGAAACTGATGGGGTGAAACTGATGGGGTGAAACTCATGGGTGGGGTGAAGCTGATGGGTGGGGTGAAACTGATGGGGTGAAACTGATGGGTGGGGTGAAACTGATGGGGTGAAACTGATGGGTGGGGTGAAACTGATGGGGTGAAACTGATGGGGCGAAACTGATGGGGCGAAACTGATGGGGTGAAACTGATGGGGCGAAACTGATGTGGCGAAACTGATGGGGTGAAACTGATGGGGTGAAACTGATGGGTGGGGTGAAACTGATGGGGTGAAACTGATGGGGCGAAACTGATGGGGTGAAACTGATGGGTGAAACTGATGGGGTGAAACTGATGGGGTGAAACTGATGGGGTGAAAGTGATGGGGTGAAACAGATGGGGTGGAAACTGATGGGTTGAAACTGATGGGTGGGGTGAAACTGATGGGGTGAAACTGATGGGGCGAAACTGATGGGGCGAAACTGATGGGGTGAAACTGATGGGGCGAAACTGATGTGGCGAAACTGATGGGGTGAAACTGATGGGGTGAAACTGATGGGTGGGGTGAAACTGATGGGGTGAAACTGATGGGGCGAAACTGATGGGGTGAAACTGATGGGGTGAAACTGATGGGGTGAAACTGATGGGGTGAAACTGATGGGGTGAAACTGATGGGGTGAAACTGATGGGGTGAAACTGATGGGTGGGGTGAAACTGATGGGTGGGTTGAAACTGATGGGGTGAAACTGATGGATGGGGTGAAACTGATGGGGTGAAACTGATGGGTGGGGTGAAACTGATGGGGTGAAACTGATGGGGCGAAACTGATGGGGTGAAACTGATGGGTTGAAACTGATGGGGTGAAACTGATGGGGTGAAACTGATGGGGTGAAACTGATGGGGTGAAACTGATGGGTGAAACTGATGGGGCGAAAACTGATGGGGTGAAACTGATGGGTTGAAACTGATGGGGTGAAACTGATGGGTGAAACTGATGGGTTGAAACTGATGGGTGAAACTGATGGGGTGAAACTGATGGGGTGAAACTGATGGGGTGAAACTGATGGGGTGAAACTGATGGGGTGAAACTGATGGGGTGAAACTGATGGGTGGGGTGAAACTGATGGGGTGAAACTGATGGGTGGGGTGAAACTGATGGGGTGAAACTGATGGGGCGAAACTGATGGGGTGAAACTGATGGGTTGAAACTGATGGGGTGAAACTGATGGGGTGAAACTGATGGGGTGAAACTGATGGGGTGAAACTGATGGGGTGAAACTGATGGCTGAAACTGATGGGCTGAAACTGATGGGGTGAAACTGATGGGTGAAACTGATGGGGTGAAACTGATGGGGCGAAACTGATGGGGTGAAACTGATGGGGTGGAAACTGATGGGGTGAAACTGATGGGGTGAAACTGATGGGGTGAAACTGATGGGGTGAAAACTGATGGGGTGAAACTGATGGGTGGGGTGAAACTGATGGGGTGAAACTGATGGGTGGGGTGAAACTGATGGGGTGAAACTGATGGGGCGAAACTGATGGGGCGAAACTGATGGGGTGAAACTGATGGGGCGAAACTGATGTGGCGAAACTGATGGGGTGAAACTGATGGGGTGAAACTGATGGGTGGGGTGAAACTGATGGGGTGAAACTGATGGGGCGAAACTGATCGGGTGAAACTGATGGGTGAAACTGATGGGGTGAAACTGATGGGGTGAAACTGATGGGGTGAAACTGATGGGGTGAAACTGATGGGGTGGAAACTGATGGGTTGAAACTGATGGGGTGAAACTGATGGGGTGAAACTGATGGGGTGAAACTGATGGGGTGAAACTGATGGGGCGAAACTGATGGGTGAAACTGATGGGGTGAAACTGATGGGGTGAAACTGATGGGGTGAAACTGATGGGGTGAAACTGATGGGGTGAAACTGATGGGGTGAAACTGATGGGTGGGGTGAAACTGATGGGTGGGGTGAAACTGATGGGGTGAAACTGATGGGGCGAAACTGATGGGGCGAAACTGATGGGGTGAAACTGATGGGGCGAAACTGATGTGGCGAAACTGATGGGGTGAAACTGATGGGGTGAAACTGATGGGTGGGGTGAAACTGATGGGGTGAAACTGATGGGGCGAAACTGATGGGGTGAAACTGATGGGTGAAACTGATGGGGTGAAACTGATGGGGTGAAACTGATGGGGTGAAACTGATGGGGTGAAACTGATGGGGTGGAAACTGATGGGTTGAAACTGATGGGGTGAAACTGATGGGGTGAAACTGATGGGGTGAAACTGATGGGGCGAAACTGATGGGTGAAACTGATGGGGTGAAACTGATGGGGTGAAACTGATGGGGTGAAACTGATGGGGTGAAACTGATGGGGTGAAACTGATGGGGTGAAACTGATGGGTGGGGTGAAACTGATGGGTGGGGTGAAACTGATGGGGTGAAACTGATGGGTGGGGTGAAACTGATGGGGTGAAACTGATGGGTGGGGTGAAACTGATGGGGTGAAAGTGATGGGCCGAAACTGATGGGGTGAAACTGATGGGTTGAAACTGATGGGGTGAAACTGATGGGGTGAAACTGATGGGGTGAAACTGATGGGGTGAAACTGATGGGTGAAACTGATGGGGCGAAAACTGATGGGGTGAAACTGATGGGTTGAAACTGATGGGGTGAAACTGATGGGTGGGTTGAAACTGATGGGTTGAAACTGATGGGGTGAAACTGATGGGGTGAAACTGATGGGGTGAAACTGATGGGGCGAAACTGATGGGTGAAACTGATGGGGTGAAACTGATGGGGTGAAACTGATGGGGTGAAACTGATGGGGTGAAACTGATGGGGTGAAACTGATGGGGTGAAACTGATGGGTGGGGTGAAACTGATGGGTGGGGTGAAACTGATGGGTGGGGTGAAACTGATGGGGTGAAACTGATGGGTGAAACTGATGGGGTGAAACTGATGGGGTGAAACTGATGGGGTGAAACTGATGGGGTGAAACTGATGGGTGGGGTGAAACTGATGGGTGGGGTGAAACTGATGGGTGGGGTGAAACTGATGGGGTGAAACTGATGGGTGAAACTGATGGGGTGAAACTGATGGGGTGAAACTGATGGGGTGAAACTGATGGGGTGAAACTGATGGGGTGAAACTGATGGGGTGAAACTGATGGGTGGGGTGAAACTGATGGGTGGGGTGAAACTGATGGGGTGAAACTGATGGGTGGGGTGAAACTGATGGGGTGAAACTGATGGGTGGGGTGAAACTGATGGGGTGAAACTGATGGGTGGGGTGAAACTGATGGGTGGGGTGAAACTGATGGGGTGAAACTGGGGTGAAACTGATGGGTGAAACTGATGGGGCGAAAACTGATGGGGTGAAACTGATGGGTTGAAACTGATGGGGTGAAACTGATGGGGTGAAACTCATGGGTGGGGTGAAACTGATGGGGCGAAACTGAGGGGGTGAAACTGATGGGTTGAAACTGATGGGGTGAAACTGATGGGTTGAAACTGATGGGGCGAAACTGATGGGGTGAAACTGATGGGTGAAACTGATGGGGTGAAACTGATGGGTTGAAACTGATGGGGTGAAACTGATGGGGTGGAAACTGATGAGGTGGAACTGATGGGGTGGAAACTGCTGGGGTGGAATCTGATGGGGTGGAAACTGATGGGGTGGAAACTGATGGGGTGGGAACTGATGGGGTGGTTGCTCGGGTGGGTGCTTCTGGAGTGGGTGACGCCCAAGATTACTTGCATTGCCGCCTCTCCTCCATCACATCACACCCCCTCTCAATCACCCCTCTCTCCGCCCCCACTGTTCCCTGTCCAGGTGGCGCGCTGTCAGAGGCCGAGGCACGCGGCGCGGCACTGGCTGGAGTACCTGGCAGGGGGGCTGTGTGGCGTGGCGGTGGGCAGCTGGGTGGTGAGGCACAGCCGACTGAACGGCAGTGATGACCTCAACAGGTGGGGAGAGGGGATGTAGATGGGTGGATTGAGGATGGGGTATGGGGAATGGGTGAGGCATGGCACTGGCTGGAGTATCTGGCAGGGGGGCTGAGTGGCGTGGCGGTGGGCAGCTGGGTGGTGCGGCACAGCCGGCTGAACGGCAGTGATGACCTCAACAGGTGGGTTGCTGCTGATGGTGATAGGTGCCGTGTTTATGATGGGGTATTGGGGGTAAGAAGGTATCTGGTTGGGCTCATGGGTGCTGCGGCACAGTCGGCTGAACGGCAACAGGTGGGCTGCTGGTGTGGAGAAAACATTTAAATGGGTAGCTGGGTAGATGGACGTTGGGTGATGGGTGAGGCAGTGCGATTTGTGTTGGAGGCACACGGCACTGGTGCAGACTTGAAGTTGCCACCACTGCTTCTGTTTTGGCGGCCGGCGCTCGCACTGCTGCTGTGTTGGCCGGCCGCACTCTCACTGTGCTGCTGCGCTGCTGCTGTCACTTGCAATTCACCCAAGTGAGATGTGCGTGTGCGTGCCAGCAAGGCACCACACGCACATCCAAGGCACCTGCGCTGCTGCTGCGCTGCTGCTCTCACTGTGCTGCTGCGCTGCTGCTCTCACTGTGCTGCTGCGCTGCTGCTCTCACTTGCAAATCACCCAACCGATCTTGCCTTGGATGTGCGTGTGGTGCCTTGGTTGGGCAGGTGGGCTGCAGATGGGTGGAGAGCGGTGACAGGGTTCGTCACAGACCACATCTGGCAGCCGGTATGTAACCCTGCTGCTTGTAGTTCTCGCGTATCCTGTGCCCATGTTGGGATACCAGCAGAGGGGCATGTTGGGATACCAGCAGAGGGGCATGTTGTGATACCTCGTCTCCCTCCCTCACTCCACCTTTGCTGCCGTCCTCACTCTGCCCCTTCACTCCCTTTCCCATTCTCGCCCGTCCAGCTGTCAGCGATCAGTGCAGAGCTCTTTCACACGTTCGGTGACCAGCAGAGGGGCAACGTGTCCATGCATGACGTGCAGGCCTCCACCGACTCTCTGAGGAGGTGAGACTCAAGTCAAGCAAGTCAAACACGGTCAACAGAGGCAAGCAGAGGGGCAACGTGTCCATGCATGACGTGCAGGCATCCACTGATTCCCTGCGGAGGTGAGAGTCAAGTCAAGCAAGTCAATGAGAGTCAAGCAAGTCAACAGTGGGGGTCGTTGTAGTCAAACGCAGTCAACAGAGTCAAGCAGAGGGGCAACGTGTCCATGCATGACGTGCAGGCCTCCACCGACTCCCTGAGGAGGTGAGAGTCAAGCAAGTCAACGAGAGTCAAGCAAGTCAACGAGAGTCACGCAAGTCAACGAGAGTCACGCAAGTCAAACACGGTCAACAGAGTCAAGCAGAGGGGCAATGTGTCCATGCATGAGTCAAGCAAGTCAACGAGAGGCAAGGTCAAACACAGTCCGGGGTAAAAAAGAGTGAGCCCTTTGCTGCATTGCTTGCCACACCTGTTCGAGTCGTGTTTCCCTCCCTGCCGCCCTCGTCCCCCCCATGGCCCGTCAGAATGCTGCTGACCTTTGTTGAGAAAACCCAGCCACTGGCACTCGAAAGCACCAGCACCACAAGCACCACGACCAGCACCAGCACCAGCACCAGCGGCGGCACCGGGGGCAGTGGCGGCAGCGGCAGCGGTAGTACAGGAGCAGCGGATGCAGCTATGGGAGCAGCATTGCCATCGGAGTCGGATCTGATGGCATTGGTGATGCGCGAGTATGAGAAGGACATGGCCAACCCCCTCACCCACCTCCTTACGGGGCGACTAGCCGAGGCGCTGCTGATTCAGGTGAGTATTCATTCAGTGAACGCTAAGGTATGGAAGTGGGTGAAAATGGGAGGGTCATGGCCAACCCCCTCACCCACCTCCTCACAGGGCGACTAGCCGAGGCGCTGCTGATTCAAGTGAGTATTCATTCAGTGAACGCTAAGGTATGGAAATGGGTGAGTATGGGAGGGTCATGGCCAACCCCCTCACCCACCTCCTCACGGGGAGGCTAGCTGAGGCGCTGCTGATTCAGGTGAATGTTCAGTGAATATTCAGTGAGCACTTGGATGAACTTTCAGGTGAGTTGCTTGCTTGCGCACGTACAGCTTCACCTTCACTTGGCACCCCCCCACTCGTTTGCCTTCACCTTCACATGTATGAGCTCGTTCGCCACTCTCCGGCACTCATGCCTGCCCTGCGTGATGCGTCCAGGTTCACTGAATGTGTCTGCTCTTCATCCTCCTCTCCTCTGTCCCCTCCCCTCTGCCCCCTCTTCCAGGTGCAAAGAATGAAGCTTCACATTGAAACGTAAGCCCCCATTCTCCTGCCGTCACCACTCCATGCGACTGTAATCTCGCCTTTTGAGTCGACTCAAAAGCCCCCATTCTCCTGCCGTCACCACTCCATGCGACTGTAATATCGCCTTTGCTACTTTTCTTATTTCCCTCTTCTTTCCCCTTTTCTCCCATGCTCCGTCCTAAGCTGCTTGTACCTTCTCTCTGTCTCTCCTCTCCCCTCCGAATCCGTACCCCTCACATGTATTTCATTGCCTGCTGCACCTGCCACCCTCCACTGCCCCCCGCCTCCCCCTCCCGCACCCCCCCTTCCTCCTTGCAGCAGGGCCATGTGAGAGTTGGAGCAGATACTGAGGCCGAATCAGATCAACTTCGCGCTGCTCACCCCCTTACTCTCACCTCCCCCCTCCTTCCTCTCCTCCCCCCTTCTCCCCCTTTGCAACAGGGCCATGTTAGAGCTGGAGCAAATCCGGAGGGCGAATCAGATCAACTTTGCTTTGCTCACCTTCTTTCTCCACTCCCTCCCCCCTCCTCCCCATCCCCCCTCCCCTCACCCCTCCCCCCGTGCAACAGCGCCATGTTGGAGTTGGAGCAGATTCTGAGGGCGAATCAAATCAACTTCGCACTGCTCACTGCCCTGCCCGCCCTGCTGCTGCTCTCCGGCCTCTTCTCCCTCTCCCGTGACTTCTCCGTCTCAAAGGCAAGTGGAGTTGAGTGGACCCAAGGTGACCAGAGTTGACATATGAGTTAACTTAAAGTCGCCCTGCTGCTGCTCTCCGGCCTCTTCTCCCTCTCCCGTGACTTCTCCGTCTCAAAGGTAAACGGACCTGAGTTAGAGTTGATTTTTTTAGTCGAATCAAAAGGCGTTATGCTGCTGCTCTCCGGGCACTTTACTCGTGACTTCTCGGTTTTTAAAGCACATGAATTGGCCTTGGGTTAATTCAAGTTGACTCGCGCTTACTCAAATTGAATCCAGCTGATTTGTTGCCCATCCTCCTGAGGGTGCGGACGGAATGTACATCAACTTGCTCTGTTTCCAGCTTCCAGCCTTTCCCTCCTGGAGCCCTCCTGTGTGCTTCGCCCTCTGCTCTCCCCATTTCATTTCAACCAGCAATGAATGCCCATCCTCCATCCATGCCCATGCCCATACCCATCAGGCACGGGGTGCGGAAGGAAAAGGCCGGGTGGCGCAGACAAGACGACGGATGCTACTCGCTGACGTGGACCGACACGTGGTGCTGCGTAACCACCTGCGGGTGTTACCATCATCCAAGGCGTTACCACCAGCCCAATCGTTGACATCCACGTCAGCAGTGCCCTCCACGTCAGCATCAGCACCACTTCCCGGATCAACGTCGGTGTCGACTCCCAATCCCAGCTCAGCGCCGTGTGATGACGTGGCATCATCAGCGAATGACGTGGCATCAGTGGATGACGTGGCAGCGTGGCACGGCATGTTGGTGTATCTGCTGCATCGGCTGTATGTGGCGGTGCAACGACAGGCCAGCAAGGAGGGCGAGTGGTCACGGTGAGTCTCGGTTCGCATGTACCCATGGTGTGCTGTATGGTGCATGAGACTTTTGAATCGCCCCAAAAGGCAGTGCACCCAACCCATGATGTGGTGCATGAGTATTGCCATGCTGGTCCTTGAGGATCTAAACAACGACAGGCCAGCAAGGAGGGCGAGTGGTCACGGTGAGTCTCGGTTCGCATGTGCCCATGGTTTGCTGAATCGATGATGCCATGCTCCCTCCCATGCACCTGGTGGCACCTGTGCTGCCATGCTGCCATGCTCCCATGCTCCCATGCTCCCATGCTGTCAAGTCATTACATTAAACTTCCGCACCTGTCCTCTTTGCTGCTCCCTCCTCCCACCCCCTTTGTGCCATGCCACCAGCCTGCAGCAGGACATACTCGATATAGCAAGCCCCCATATGGATATGCAAGGCCGGCAGCTGTTAGCAGCGCGCATGGCGGCCATATATGATTGCCTTGTGCCACTCGCCAAATGAATGTATTACTTCAGCTGTTGCATTCAATTCATAAGTATATCATAGGCATTTTGTAATCCGGTAACTCGATAATCAGAGCAAGCTTTTGTAATATAACGAGCTTGGAGTGACTCATGGCTTGGATCTGCTTTGCACTGCAGAGTATGCTTCAACAGGTTATCAGACCCCAGGACTTGTCTGCTGTCCCTGGCCCTTGCATGCTACTGCTTGAGGCACCTTAAACACCACGTGATGCTGAGCAGCTTGTAAGCACGGTATATTGCCGAGAAGGCATTCCGTACGACCATGTCAACCCCCATTCGCATGCCCTCATGACAGCAGTCACTTTTGAGGCGCCTCAAAAGGCACCTTAAACACCATGTGCTGCTGAGCAGCTTGTAAGCACGGTACGGTACATCGCCGAGAAGGCCGCCATTCGCATGCCCCCATGGCAGCAGTCACGTCTTGACCTGTGCATGTCCCTTGGCCCCTGGCCCTTGCATGCTACTGCTCGCGGCGCCTTAAACACAATGTGCTGCTGAGCAGCTTGTAAGCACGGCACGGTACATCGCCGAGAAGGCCGCCATCTGGATTCCGTACGACCATGTCAACCCCCATCTGCATTCCGTACGACCATGTCAACCCCCATCTGGATTCCGTACGACCATGTCAACCCCCATCCGCATGCCCTCATGGCAGCAGTCACGTCTTGAGCTGTGCATGTCCCTTGGTTGCTATGTGCTTGAACAGTTGGTTCCTGGTAGGGGGGAAAGGTTGGAGGCATGGGCAGATCGTGAGTGTGAGGAGAAGTGATGTGGTGGTGGTGAGGGCACGAGGCATGAGAAGAGGGGGAAGAGGCACGCAGGTGGCAGATGCGATGGTGCGGAGCCTGATGAATCCCACAAAGGTGCAAATTGGACAAAAAATGAGCGCACCTGGAATCGAACTCGAGACCACACACTCCACATTCCAGTGCCGGCTGCACTCAGACACGCACACAGCAGCAGCAAGTACAGGAGCAAGCACAGGAGCAAGCACAGCGGCAGCAAGCACAGGGGGAGCAGGCAGAGCACAGGGGCAAGGGGCACGTGTGTAAGTCAGAGGCGGCAGGAGGCAGCAAAGCAGGAATAAGTTGGCGAGCGACTAGCCTCATAGCATGCACTTGCATCCCTTCTGTAACCCCTTTGCCAGCCTCTCATTGCCCTCTGCACAGCCCCTCATCCGTCCGCCCCCCAGCCCCATGCCCATGAATCAGGACTCATGACTCACCTCTGCGTTCTTCCCCTTTCTTCTCTCCTTCTTGCTGCCTCTCCCGCCCCTCCCCCCTCTCTCCCCCCCGCCGTCCTCCACACCACCGCTAACACCACCTCCCCCACCCAGGTTCGCTTTTGGCCCGCTTGAGTCCCCCACTGCACCTTTCCCCCCTGAAACTCCACCCTTTCCCCCCCCACCCTTTGCTGCCCTCCGCCTCCCCTTCTTCCCCTTCCCCTTTGTAACTCCCTCCTCCTCAGCCTCCCCCTCTCCGCCCCCCCCCGCTGCTCCCTCACTCTCCCTCCCCTCCGTCTCACCACCCTCCTTACTGTCACCTTCACCATTGTCACCTGCTGCTGCCCCCTGTCCGTCTCTCTCCCCTGCCAACCCATCCGCCGCCTCATGCAAGCCATTTGCAGCAGCAGGGGCAGCAGCAGGGGCAGCAGCAGGGGCAGCAGCAGGGGCAGCAGCAGGGGCAGCAGCAGGGGCAGCAGCAGGGGCAGCAGGGGCAGCAGCAGGGGCAGCAGCAGGGGCAGCAGCAGGGGCAGCAGCAGGACCAGCGCCCTCGCCACCACTCTGCAGCGCCTCTCTTGCATCTATCTCATTCGTTGCTGACGTGTCCCTGCTCTCACCCTCTGCTGTCGCTTCCGCTCCCTCCTCCTCTTTCTCCTCTTCCTCTTCCCTATCCTCCTCTTGCTCCTCTTTCTTCTTCGCCTTCTCCTTCCTCTTTTTCTTTTCAGCCATCTTTTGTCGGGCCAGCATTGCGGCCAGCATTGCCATCTCCTCCTCCTCATCCATCTCACCTGCCTCCTCCTCCTCTTCTTCCTCCACTTCCTCCTCTTCTTCCTCCTCTTCCTTCTCTTCTTCCTCATCATCCTCTTCCTCCTCATTTTTCTCCTCATCCTCCTCTCCTGCTCCATCGTTCTCCGCCCCTCTTATTCCGTCAAGCCCCTCCCCTTCTTCCTCCTCCACCTCTCCCTCCTCCCTCTCGTCCTCTTCACTCTCTGTCCTACCAACCGCTTCCCCATCCCCATCCCCATCGCCATCTCCCTCCTTCCCCTCTGCCATCTCCACCTCCTCCACCTCCTCTCCGTCCTCCTCTTCCACTTCCTCCCCCTCCTCCCCATCCCCCTCGCCCCCCTGCGCCTCCGCCAGTTCGTCCGCCATCAGTTCCGCCCTGAGCTGCGCCAGGCGCACCAGGTGCTTCTTGCTGCGCTCGTGGTTCCCCAGCTGCTGCGCGCTCCTGAACGCCTTGCTGCACACCACGCAGTACGCCTCATCCAACCCCACCTCACCCATCCCCACCGCACCGTCCCCACCCATCCCTGCCTTACCTAGTTCCGCCTCCCCTTCCCCAACCGCATGCCCTCTCCCGTTCCCCTGCGCGCTGCCTCCTCCCCCCGTGTGTGCGTCTCCCTGCCGGCCCTTCTTCTTTTTCTTCTTGCCTCCGCCTCTCTCCGAACCCTGCCCGTCGCCCTGCCCGTTTGCCACAGTTACGGATCCATCTGCCCCTGCCCCTCCCCCTGCCCCTGCCCCTGCTCCTCCCTTTCCTTTTCCCTTCCCCTTCCGCCCCCCTTTCTTATTCTCCCCAAACCAATCATCATCCTCATCCATCCTCCCCGCCTTCCGCCTCCCCTCGCCCTCTCCGCGCCCCTCCACTCCAACCCCCTCCTCATCCTCGTCCTCCTCCCCCTCGTCCTCCCCCTCCCCCCGCGCCCACTCCGGGTCTTCATACTCCTGCGCACGTCGCGCCTTCTCTCTCCGCTCCTCCTCCCTCCGCCGCTTCGCCTCCGCCTCGCGCTCCGCCGCCACGCGCCGCGCCTCCGCCTGCTGCTCCTTCACGCGCGGGTCGCGCTTCTTCACGAACGCCGCCAGCTGGCGAACCGCCTCGTTGAACTCGCGCTTCGCCTTCCTTCGAAGCTTCGCGTTCTCCTCCTCCATCAGCCGCCGCACCTGCACGTGTGCAGCACACGTGGCACACGTGGCATACATGGAAAGAACGGGACGCGAGGGATGAGCGGCACAGGCAGGGCACAAGGAAATTCAAACTCGTGGCCCCGATGTCAACCATCCCCGCCCTGCACCCTGAACCCAAATTTCTATCTCGCACATCATTCCAACCGCCTGCTAAAGCCCCACGCTTGCACCCGAAACCCTGAACCCAGGTCCCCAATTATTCCCCGACAGCCGGCGTGTCTCACCCGTCGATTGGGCGCCTCGGCCAGATTGTACTGATCCTTCCACGAAAAGTCGCGCACGCTCACGAACGACTGCCAGTACTTGAAGAACGCCGACACGTCAGCAGCTGAGCTGTCCCTCTTGCCGAACGGCGGCGCCGACATGTCCACCTCCTCCCCCTTCTGCGCCGCGCGCCGAGCCGACGCGAGCTCCTTCTCGAAGATCTCGTCGAAAATCTTCGCATACACTGCGTAAAACCCTTCGCCCGTGTCGCCGTAACCAGAGTACGCGGAGGCGGAGAAGTAACCCCACAGATCTTCGTCTTCGTCTTCGTCGTGGTTTTCGCCGTCGTGGTGTGTCTCGCCGCGAAGGATCGAGTCGCGATGGCTGTCGTACCACGCTCGCTCGTGCTTATCGCTGAGCACTTCGTACGCGCTCTGGATCTGCTTGAACATCGCTGTAGCGTGCTCGACATTGTTCTGATTCTTATCGGGGTGCCACTGTAACGCGAGCTTGCGATACGCGGATTTGATCTCGTCCGCTGATGCGGATCGATCCACGCTCAGCACATCGTAGTGGCACCGCATCGTGACGGCCACGTGGCAAAGCACGAATGAGTAGGTTTTGGATGCTTTACTTTAGACTAACCACTGCGCGTCGAGCAGACAAGCGCGACTGGCGGCACCTACACCCGCCTGTACAACCTCTCGCAGTCCAGTCCAGGATTCAGAAAGTGAGTGGACTGCAAGCAATGCAAGGCAAAAAGGTTGATTCGAACCAAAAGCAACCCCTCCCAAGCGACTGTCAAGGTTGATTCAGAAAGCTTGACGAGCAGCCTGGAAGCACAAAATGGTCAATGATGCGGTATAGATTGCTCCCAGAATTATTATAGGGTAGATCAAACTACTTTCACTGAAACAAAAACATGTAATCAGAAATAATATTCAACTCTAACTTTTACCCTGTAAACAAAATCCACGTATAACGAAAACAAATAAAAATATATGTTCTTTCTGCTTTTTCAAGGCATTACACATGTATATTTTGTTAGCCAGTATGCATTTGCGAATAGCATTTGTAGCCCTCAGGCAGCGTCAACCGCACTCTTTCTTTCTTGATGGCTGTCAGTCAGAAACCAGTTTCTAGGTCACCAGTGCTGGGTCTAAGTGCCTGATACCTCCTAGATACTACGTGACATCAAGTTTTTAAGAGAGATATGGTAATATTGGGGTTTATTATTGGTCTTTAAGTTGGTTCGGCGTATTGAGTTCCTCTTATGGCGCAGACTTTGAATGACCGGCTGAAGGGAAGCACTGCCACGTCGGATGGACGCGTCATCCTCCACGTGGATCTGGACTGCTTCTATGCCGCGGTGCGCTTTATATTACTTCGCGATCGCTAAGATTCTCTGGCGATATTTGAGTTCTGGTTAGGAATGGGCTAGTACGATGGTGTATGCGAGTAGGACGCATCCGTATTTCGCATTTCCTAATCCGATGGCCTTTCCCTATTCAATTTTCCCTTTCCATTCTGCGACTCCCTTTTTCTTTTTTTTCTATCGCCGCCTGCGCGGTCTAACACAGTGTCTTTTCGGCATTTGTCATTACTATGAATGTCTGACCCCATCCATCTCACCATGCTTGTGCCTGCTTCACAGGTGGAGGCAGTGCGGCTCGGTATTCCCAGGGACACGCCGCTTGCCGTGCAGCAGTGGGAGGTGAGGGGACAGTGCTTCCAGTTCTTTATGTCATGTGCACGTGCACATGCCACGCCGTGCCTCCATCCATTCACCACACCTCCACGCTACCATCACCTTCACTCCATCCACCGTCCTTTATGTCATGTGCGCGGGCACATGTCATGCCATGCCTCCATTCACCACACCTCCACGCTATGCTCACACCTCCATCATTCACGCGTCTGTTTCAGAGCAAAGCCTCCTAGCAGTGAACCATCTGAGCCTCCTTCTAAGGCGACTCACACATCACCTCTGCTCTGCGCACGGCGAGTGTTGAGGCGCCTTACGAGTCAATTCGTTGTGCCTCCAACCGGTACCTCTTTGTCGTTCAAACGGTCCTTTCATTGATACGTTCTCAGGTTCTCGTTCTCTCTCTCACCGCCAGGGCTTGATCGCGGTGAACTATGCGGCGAGGGCGAGGGGAGTGCAGAGGCACGACCGCGTGTTCCAGGCCAAGCAGAAGGTGCGCTCGTTTATGGGGTGGGGTTCATTGCATTCGCCGCGTGTATCAGGCGTTTTTTTTCTCAATTTCGTAAACGACTGTGTGTTCCATTCACGTCCATTTCAGAAGGTGGACGTGCTGTGCTGTGCATTGCACAGCGTCTATGTGAGTGGGAGGCTATTGTTTGTGAGTTCCCCTCGCCCTCCCCCACCCACCTCCGTTCCGTACTGCAGTGCCCAGAGATGCAGCTCGTACATGTGGAGACGGTGGGGGGGCGCCAGGGGCGGGGCGCAATACAACACACAGGTGTCGCTGGAGTGCTACGCTACCAATTGAAGCGCCTTAAAACTCCCCTCTCCTCACCTCTCCTCACCTCCCCTGCTCCAGTGTCCAGAGCTGCAGCTGATACACGTGGAGACGGTGGGGGGAGCGCCAGGGGCAGGGCGCAATGCAGGCAAGGTGTCGCTGGAGCGCTACCGGGCCGCCTCTCAGCACGTGTTTGCTGCTTTCCGCCGCGTGTGCCCCACTGTGGAGCGCGCGAGCATTGATGAAGCATATATGGATGTTTCTACCAAGGTGGGTGCACAGGAGGGGAAGGGGAAGAGGGTTTGGGGGATTATATGCTCCAATCATTTCACTTGCACCAGTACTTAGTGCCTTCCGCTGCGTGTGCCCCACGGTGGAGCACGCGAGCATTGATGAGGCATACATACATGGACGTGTCACCCATGGTGGGCAGCATGGATGTATCATTCATTCATTCATTCATTCTGACGTTGCCCTCACCTCATGCTTGCGTTCTCCATTGCTCAAGGGCTTCCCTGTCGCATCCCCCCTCTTTCTCCTGCTCGCCGCCCTCAGCCAAGTGTGACGGGCCACTTTACCCCCTTCCGCACTTCTCCCGGTGTGCGCCTTTCCCCCGTGTGCGCCTTTCCCCCGTGTGCGCCTTTCCCCCGTGTGCGCCTTTCCCCCGTGTGCGCCTTCCCCCCGTGTGCGCCTTTCCCCCGTGTGCCCCTTTCTCCCCATGTGCGAGCAGGTGGACGCCATGCTCTCACGCCCACCCCCTGCAGTCCCGCCTGCACCAGATGAGGCCTCAGTGGGCACAGGTGGGACTGCAGAGGTCCCTGCTGCTGCCTGGGAGGAGCAGTGGAGGGAGCTGTTGGGGAGTGTGACTGAAGTGACGGCAGGGAGTGCGATAGAAGTGAAGGCAGGGAGTGTGACTGAAGTGAAGGGCGATGCGACTGAGGAAGGTGGTGATTGTGGTGATGGGAGTGATGGGGTTGGAACGGATAGGGAAGGTTCAGGGGAGGAAGGGGAGCGGAAGGCTGGGGTGCAGCAGCCGCAGCTGGAGCAGCAGCAGCAGCGGGTGGGGGAGACGAAGAGAGAGCATGGAGGGGCAGAAGAAGGCGGAGGAGGATCAGCAGTGGCACTGGCGGTTCCCAAGGCACGGCTGGTGGTGCGGGAGGGACCTCTGGATGCACGTGATGACGTGGAGAGGAGGTGAGACTCGCCTCTGCTTCCCTCTTCTCTTCTTTCTAGTGGTGGAACGTGGTGGATCAGAACAGGCACTGGCGGTTCCCAAGGCACGGCTGGTGGTGCGGGAGGGACCCTTGGACGCACGGGACATTGTGGAAAGGAGGTGCGACACCCCTCTCCATCCCTCTGCCCTCCTCTTCACTCACCTATCACCCCCTCTCCTCTGTGCTCGCTGCTAGAGCGTTCACCTTGGTAGCAAGTGGGTCAGGGCAGAAGGTGTGCAGATTTCCCTGTCCCTCCCGTATGTCCCGCCAGGCTGCAGGCAGGAGTGGTGGTAGCCCACCGTCTGTTGCGGGAGGTGCTGCCATTGCTGGGGTTCACAGTCAGCGTGGGAGTGGCGCGCTGCAAGAGTGTGTGCTGCATCCCTTCCCCCCGCCTCCTTCATTCCCCCACCCCTTCCCCTCCCACCAGGCTGCAGGCAGGAGTGGTGATAGCGCACCGACTTCAACAGGAAGTGCTGTCGTCACTGGGCTACACAGTGAGCGTGGGAGTGGTGCGCTGCAAGAGTGTGTGGAACTCCGCCACCCCCCCCCTTCTCCCCCACTTGCCAGGCTGCAGGCAGGAGTGGTGATAGCCCACCGTCTTCAACAGGAAGTGCTGTCGTCGCTGGGCTACACAGTGAGCATGGGAGTGGTGCGCTGCAAGAGTGTGTGGAACTCCGCCACCCCCCCCCTTCTCCCCCACTTGCCAGGCTGCAGGCAGGAGTGGTGATAGCCCACCGTCTTCAACAGGAAGTGCTGTCGTCGCTGGGCTACACAGTGAGTGTGGGAGTGGCTCGCTGCAAGCTGCTCGCCAAGATGGCCTCCGCCATGACCAAGCCGTTTGGGATCACGGTGGTGAGATCATGACAGGTGTATTAGGGGCATGGTACTGTGGTGGTGAGTGTCTGGCAGGAGGCCAATGTCACTGTGATGAGTGCCCTTCTGATTTAGAACAGTTGTGTTAGGGGCAACTCACAAGCTGCTCGCCGAAATGGCCTCCGCCATGACCAATCCCTTCGGGATTACCGTGGTGAGCTGATGCTAGTGCCTGCTCTCAGTGTGCACTGTCCAGTGCACTGTGAACATTGACTCTGTCGCCCTCCAAACTCAGTCTGCACCGCACTGTACACCCTCTGTCCCGTATCCCACTCCTCCCTCCCCCTTTTTCCCCAGGTGCCGCCTCGTGCCGTCCCTGCCCTGATGGAGGACGTTCCTCTCAAGAAGATCCGCAATCTTGGCGGCAAACTGGGGCAGGTGCTGTGGGTGGGGTGAGCTGGTGGTGGTGGGGTGAGGTGAGGTGGTGGTGGGGTGAGGTGAGGTGGTGGTGGGGTGAGGTGAGGTGGGAGGGGCGAGGTGGGTGGGTGGGCGGCTTGTGGGGTGAGGAGGGAGGGAGAAGTTGATTGATCATAGGAGGAGACATGGGGTGTAATGCTAATTCCCCTGAGTCCTGCTGGCCTGTAATGCGAATCTCTTGCAGGAGCTACAGGCAATGGGGTGTGCAACCGCAGGCCAGGCACATGCACTGGAGCTCCCAGACCTCATCGCCAGGTTCGGGGAGAGGCTCGGGAACTACGTGTGGAGGGCTGTGAGAGGGCTGGATGAAACACCAGGTGTGCGGCGTGCCCTCCGCATCCTTTTTTCCCCTTCCGCTCATTTCTGCGAGGCAAGATGGATTTGGATTAGTTGGTGCACTTGCGCTTCCTGCATTCCCCTGAGGTGACTTTTGAGTCGACTCGAAAGTCTCCTTTTTTCCCCTTCCGCTCATTTCTGCGAGGCAAGATGGATTTGGATTAGTTGGTGCACTTGCGCTTCCTGCATTCCCCTGAGGTGACTTTTGAGTCGACTCGAAAGTCTCCTTTTTTCCCCTTCCGCTCATTTCTGCGAGGCAAGATGGATTTGGATTTGTTGGTGCACTTGCGCTTCCTGCATTCCCCTGAGGTGACTTTTGAGTCGACTCAAAAGTCTCCTTTTTTCCCCTTCCACTCATTTCTGCGAGGCAAGATGGATTTGTTGGTGCACTTGCGCTTCCTGCATTCCCCTGCCTGTGCGTGTGCTGTGCTGATCTGTGTCTCACACACTGCACGCCCTTCCCCTCGATTGCCCACCCACCCATCTCCATTCCCTTCCCCTCCATCGCCCACCCACCCGTCCCCATTCCCTTGCCAACGCTCATTGCGGGGTGCAGTGGAGGAAAAGGGTGTGCCCAAGTCCATGCTTGCAGCCAAGTCCTTCAATGCCACGTCATCGTGGGATGACATCTGGTAATTCCACGTCAGCATGGGATGGCATTTGGTGATTCCACATCATTATGAAGTGAGGGGTGTGAGAGCCTGTGGTCGGTAAGGCCACATGATATTCGGTAAGGCCTTTCTTTTTTCACGAAGATTATTGCCATCCCCTTGTTACCATGTGGCCTCCCCCACATGATAAGGATACCCCTTTCTTCGTTCCCTTCCCCTCCTTTGTGTCTTCTCACCCACTTGACTTCTTCCCTCTCCCTTCTGGTTTCTCCTCTTCCCCCCTCCCGCTTTCCCTCCCTGTGACAGTCGCTGGATGGCCATCCTGGCTCAGGAGCTCTCCTTCCTATGATCTACCTCACCCACTTCACCTCCCCCGTCTCCGTTCTGGTTCCTCCCCCTTCTCCTCCACTGCTTTCGGTCCCTGTGACAGTCGCTGGATGACCATTCTCGCTCAGGAGCTCTCTCTTCGCATGCTCAAGGACGCAAAGGACAACAAACGCCGCCCGCGCTCCCTGCATCTGCACTACAGGGGCGGCAGTGACGGTGGCGGCGGCAGTGGTGGGTGGGGAGGAGGCGGAGGAGGGGAGAAGTCGAGGTCTTGTGGCATGCCTCGAGACATTGAGAGGGTGATAGAAGGGTTCGTGGACCGATGGTGTCGGGAAGGGGGAAAGGAGCAGGCGGAGGAGAGGCAGGATGTCGTCAGGGAGGAGGGGCGGGTGGAGGGGAGGATGGCGGGGAGGGAGGAGGAATTGGAGCAGGGGAGGGAGGATGGGAGGGAGGAGGGGAAGGAGGAAAGTAGGGAGGAGGTTGAGGAGAAGATAGGTGAGCTGGGCGAGGAGGTGAGGCATGAGAAGGAGGCAGAGGACGGGGATGCACCCTCGGAGAACGCAGGTGTGGACGAGGGGGCGGGGCAGGAGGTGCCGCCACATGCAGGTGTGGAAGGCGGGTCAAAGGATGTGGGTGTGGGTGTGGGTATCGGAGAGGGCGGGTGTGAAGGGGAGGAGGGGTGGATGGAGGAGGAGAGGCAGAAGCTGCAGGCCTTGCTGTGTGCTGCTGGCCTCACTCTGCTGGCAGGGGGTTCCAGTCAACCCAGTCAACCAAGTCAACAGGGTCAGCAGCAGGGCCAACATCTGCATGCCCAGCCCAGTGAGCAGCAGCAAGGCACGGAGGCCATCAGCCCCTCCACCAACCCGTCAACGCGCCAGCCCAGCAGTCAGCCTCTCGCCTGCCACCCTCCCCGGCCGCTATCGTGGGCGTGGGCGCCCTGCTCTCGCGTGGCCCTGTCCGCATCGGGCTTCAAGCAGCTCAGAGTGAAGGTGGGTTGGCGTGACAGGGGCAGGCATCGCGCACACATGATGTCTGTTACGCCGGTCGTTGTGGCAGTGGCGCCATGCTTTTCATTCCATGACCCTCCTTGCTTTCCTGGCTGTTTAAGTGGGTACTGTTCATTTGCCTCAAAGGAGTGCTTCTTGCCACATATTCCCATCCATCTATCTATCCAGTTTTCGTTCCATAATGACTCCGTTGGAACGAGACACATGTCTCCATCGCAACCCATTTGCACGCGTCCCAATGCTTGCGTTACACTCCATGCATCCCGCCCACACACCAGGGCATGCGCTCCTTTGGTCAGATTTTTTCGCGCCGAACGGAGTGAACACCAGGAGACTTTTGAGTCGTCTCAAAAGTGTCCTTGCCTTTCCATCCATCCCATGCATCCCACCCGCCCACACAAACACACAAACGCCAGGGCATGCGCTCCATTGATCAGATGTTCTCGCGCCGAACGGCACGCTCAGGTGTTACCCGACATGCACCGCCCGCACCTTCTCCCAGCCACGCCACCGTGCCGTGCAATACAAGCCGTACAACCCATGCAAGCACAGCGACCACAGCGATCACAGCGAGTGATGCATCAGGCCAAGAGGTACCCATTCCACGCGAATCAGCACATGGTACCCACCTCACAGCAGCAGCACGCCACGAATCGTCGTCCCCTTTGCTGCGAGCCTTTTCTCGAGGCTCTGGTCTGCGAAGGGAGGCCCAAGGCAAGGAGGAGGGTGTGAGGGACAGGGAAGGAGAGGAAGGGAGGCAAGGAGACGCGGAGAGGCAAGGAGAGGAGGACAGGCAAAGAGAGGTGGAACGACATGACTTGTCGTCCCCTTTGCTGCGAGCTTTTTCTCGAGGTTCTGGTCTGCGACGGGAGGCCCAAGAGAAGGAGGAAGATGTGAGGGACAGGGAAGGAGGTGCGGAGAGGGATTTGGTGGAGGGAGGGGCATGTGAGGGTGGAGCATTGGGGGATGGGGGTGAGGGAGGGGTGACGAATCGAGGGGGGGATGAAGGGGAGGGAAACGAGGGAGAGGAGGGATGTGAAGGAGTGGGTCGGCATGAGAGTAGGAGCCTAAGGAAAGGAGAGCTAAGCGAGGTGGGTACTGGAGAGGAGGAGCGTGGGACAGAAGAGGGAGGGACAAGGGAACAGAGAGATTTAGGAAGACGAAGATTAGTGGGACGAGGAGGAAGAGGAGGCAGAAGAGAGAGGGGCGGCAAGGGAAGGCTGGGTTCACGTAGCATGAAAGTTGCTGTGGAAGGGGCGCTTGTGCGGATGCTGGGCCAGAGACGAGTGAGGAATGAGCACACACGCGTGGAAGATGCGGATTTGGGTGAGAACCAAATGCAGAAGACAAAGAGGAGTGAGGTGCGGAGCGGTACCGAAGAGGCGGAGGAAGGGGCAGAGGTGGGGAGTGAGAGCGTGGAGCGTGGAGATGCGTCAGAGCGAAAGAGGAGGAAAGTTGGTGTCTCAGGTGGACAGGAATCAGAGTCTTTCTCGACGTGGAGAGTCACTGGTGGTGGTGGTACCACGGGCGAGGGTGGTGGGGTCAGTTTGAAAAGGAAGCATGTGGCGGGAGAGAGAGACGGGAGTGGTGCGAGGGAGGATGACTTAGAAGCAGAGAGGTTTGGGAGGAACGGTGCTGTACAGGTAGATGTGGATGCGATGAGGGAGGGAGAGGTGGGCGAAGAGAGGGACACGGGCAGAGGAGATGGTAATGGGGCCAGAGAGGGGAAGGGTGGCACGGAAGAAAGAGAGGGAGGTGAGGGTACGGTGGAATGGCATGATAGTGCGGTTGGAGAAGGTGCAGTGCGGCACTGTGGGAGAGATGACAGGCGCAGGGATGATGGGGCGGTTGGAGTGGGAGAATTGGATGAGTGGGATGGTGGGTTGAAGCATGACGCTGTTGTTCAGGTGCAAGGCGTCAGTAGGGGTGGGGATGATGGGAACAATGGTGATGGTGCTGATGAGAGACAAAGGGAGGATTCGAGACGAGGAGATGCACAACAGCACACAGACGAAGCAAAGGCCAGTATGGCAGCCTCGGCATCCGAAGAGCCTGCTTTGCGTTCTGGGTTCACCGAGCCATCCGGTTTGGTGTTGGGAAGTTCTTGCTCTCCCACTTCCTCCGGGTTTGATTTTGCAACCGTGGACGTCAAGCAGCAGCAACGACTGATGGCATGCTTCTCCCGACAACATACAAAGTCGTCGCCAGAGCTTGAAGGGAGGAAGGGGGATGGTCGGACAAGGAAGAGTGGAGTCAGGAAGAGTGGAAATGGAAAAAATAAGAGTAGAGGGAACAGGGGAAAGCAAGAAAATCAGCTGAAGATTGGAAAGTTTTTTCACACTGGTTCTTAAAGAGTATTCAGGTGGCCTTTTTCTGGTTTGGTTCTTGTGTGTATGAGCAAGTGTGTGACTATAGCGGGAATAAGTGACTTAACCGCGTACGGGAGCATGCACCAATCTAATCTATCGTGGTCCTGACCTTAGTCCTGACAGGGCACGTTGACGTGGCATTGGAGTGTCAACCAATGAATGTTGCGGGGAAAGTACATCCCAGCTCCATAGTTTCAAAAATCTCTCAAATTTAGTCCCAAGTTTACTCAAAAAGTACAGCTTTCTAGAAGTTTGCTCACGCGAGGCCCAGATTATGTTCAAATCTGGTCCTGCGGGGCAAATTTCTTGACACGTGTCCAACTTCGCATTGGAAACTTTTGACGGAGGTAAAAACAGAACATCCCTAGGGAAACCAGGACACACTTTCGGGAGGATCAACCCTAAACATGGGGACCTGCTAGGTGTTTAGGGTTGATCCCTCCCGCGAATGTGCCCTGGTTCCCTAGGGGTTTTATGTTTTTTCCCCACGTCGAAAATTTCCGATGCGAAATTGGACACGTGTCGAAAACTTTGCCCAGCAGGACCAGTTTTGAACATACTTTGGGCCTCGCGTGAGCGAAATCCTTGAAAGTGGTACCTTTTTAGTAAACCTGGGGCTAAATATGAGAGAAATTTGAAAGTATGGAGCTGGAATATACTTTCCCAATGTTGCGCTCAACCTCGTCGCAGAAACAACACCTTGAACGAACTGATTACTTTTTACCACAAGCACTGCCATCCATTTCGTCAACATTCGCTAACTTGCTAATCTCAGATTGCCACCACGAGCACCTTGTTCGCAAAAGAAGAGCCTGAATTCGCAGCAGGCATGCGAACATTTCACACGAAGGACTGTGACAGTCTGCCACTGGCAAGGCAGAGCAGAAGATGAATGATGCAGAAAGAGGAACTATTGTACTTTACTTGCTGAATGTGCTGTGGCTCTGAGAGTGGATATTATCCACGCTGTCGACACACCGAAATAAGTTTATGTCTCTTTTTCCCCTGAAAGCGAACAACACGTCGGGCTAAAATCAATTTGTAGCAACGTAAAGCTGCGGGCACTTTTTGTCGTCTATTCGTCAGACCCTGATTTCCGCTTTCAGCTCTTCCTAACGTCCTTAGTTGTGCACATACCGCAAGTTTTGATTAGGATATGGCGGACCGGCATGGTCTCGTTAGACCAGTTTATCGTGCTCTAGTTGCCGCGACTAAACGTCTCGCATCAGAAATAGAACGGAAAGACTACTGACGTCTTCTCTCTGGTTCGTGCCTGTGAAACTAAAGACGTCCCATAATCTGATTTCTTTCGCCCTGAATGTCAAATCCTGGTTCTCTCAAAGTCTGTCTGTTCTGTATCGTAGTCCTGTGATTTTAATACATTGCTCTTCTATGTGGTTCCATATTATCTCGTAACAATCGCTTGTTTTTCCCCCACTCCTCGTCGCTCCATCCCCGTAATACATGGCAGTCCGAGGTTTCATGGCTGCAGGACAACACGCCAGGCGCGTTAAGAGCCATCAAGCGAGGGAGAGACGCATCCTTGGCGTTGCTAAGGCAGGAGTTTCGAATGCCGCTTACAGGAGAGCCAGGCTCCGTGCAAGCCCAAGTAAGCAAATTAGGTGAAGCTCAGTTATTATTAGGTTGAGAAACCTCTCTGCTTACTTCATGTGGAGCAGCTTCGTAACGAACAGCTTCATGCTTCATGCTGCTTACTGCATGAAAAGTAACTGACTCACCCTCCCCATCCCCCTTGCCTTTTTCCATGTTCGCTGCTTCTCTTCCGGGAATGTTGACAGGAGGACTGGGGTCAACGTCTGGATCAAGCCCTTTCGCTGCTTGCCGTGTTGAATCGAAGGCTGGCAGTGCTGCAGACACACTCTGCCACCGATCACAGCGACAATCTGAGCCATGGTGTCAGAGTGGAGGTGCAGAGCAAGTTCCAAGTCATGGATCAGATACATTTCGGCGCTCTGTACCACTACCGAGTAAACTTTCCTTTTCCCTCCCCTGCTCCTCTCCCATCCTCCCATGTCTCTCAATTCACCTTCACACACCCCTAACCCCTCACTTCCAATTCTGTCTGCTCGTGTCCTTGCTGCACAAACGCCGAGAACTTTTGATGTTTTCCCTCTTCCATTCTCCAGGTTCGCATTCGCAATGAGGGGGTGAATGAGCCAGTGCAGCTCGTCAGCAGGCAGTGGGTTATCAAGGACTTTGATGGGAACATACAGGAGGTCAGTCACGTTGCTGCTTGGGTCATTTTCAAGTATAGTCTGTGCATGTGAGCAGTGGGAGTGTAGATTAAAAATTTCGTCCTGCACTGGGAAGAAGCATTAAGCTGCATTCAAAATCGTGAACCGATTCCTTTACTTACATTCCTGGTGCACAGGTTATTGGTCCTGGCGTTATTGGCAAGCAACCTATCTTGGATCTTGGTTCGGAATTTGAGTACATCAGCTACACACCCTTGCCGTCGAAGCGAGGCACGATGCATGGAAGTTTTCTCATGCTTGCATGCAACTCCAACCGGCTATTTGATGTGCAAGTGGGACCCTTTGGGCTCATTCCCCCTCCACGTCCCCACGACGCCTTGGGAGTTGTGCAAGGCCAATCTGTAACAGAGTAGGTAATACGGTATTGCATTTTGTGTACAGTTTTTATGCCATCTGTTTTGTTTATATCTACTACCTTGTACCGGACTCCCAGCAAATAACACCAGCTGCTGCTACGGTAGTACTGTAGTGGATAATAAAAAGACTGCTCAATTGCATACTGCTGAACATGCTCAGGTCAAATGGTTCCTCCTGGACTGAAAGAGGGAATTCATTTTTGAAGAGTAGGGATTTATTATTGTACAGGAGTCAGCTCATGAGGGCTGCAAAATATGTCCTCGGGATATTTTGCGATTTAGACTGGTGGGTAGCGGTTCAAGGCGATCGAGAAAACAAACCGCTCTAGAGTGCACAGCATCCCACACCACCACTTCTATTAAACCGAATTGACAACGTCTGATCCGCCCTTGCAGTACATTCATTCATTACATTTTACCGTCAGATTCCTCCTGTTTGGAGGGAGCTGTTCTTCAGTCACACCCATCACCATTGTCCAAGCACCAGAAAACTCGGCACGTTGCTCAGTCGGATTTCTGTAGTGTCTCCAGATAGCTCCTGCCATACCGTAGCGGTTCTTCCTAAACAATGTCTCAAGTCCGCGCTTCTCACATTCTCATCAAGCACCAAGGCTCTCGCCGTCCGGCATCTTGGAAGGATCCTAATGGAGAGTCAATAGGGCGAACGACGAAGGAGGCGGCGATTCAGCAGCTGCTGGCGATTAGAGAACGCATCGCCAGTGGCGAGCTGGACTTTGGCCAGGTTGCGAAGACCGAATCGCACTGCAGCTCCGCCAGGAACAATGGAGATCTGGGTACGTCAGTTGCCTCGGAGTACATCGCGGGTTCGATTAGAATGAAATATTATACTACGAGTTAGACTACGAATAAGACACCATGAGAACGTCTTAATCTGTCTTTCCCTTCGTATCTCGACATCAGTGCAGTCGCTGGTTATAGCAGGTGCGTACGCAATGACCTTAGACATGAAAAACGGATGTAACCACAGGTGTAGTCGAGTGCTGTCAAGACATCTCGATCGTCCTCTCTTCAAATTTGTGTCTCCATTTCTTACCCCATCCCCTTCTCTTCACCTCCGATCCCTCGTTTCAGGCTGGTTCAGTCGAGGCCAGATGCAGAGACCGTTCGAGGAAGCGACGTTCGGGATCAATGTGGGGGAGATGAGCGGCATTGTGGACACGGACAGTGGGGTGCACATTATCCTTCGCACTGGATAAAACACCAGCTGCAGCCGTTTATTTTTGGATGTGGATGTGCCATTAGCTGCCTCTGGGGACAAGACAAACATTATTTTGTTTTGGCCGGGGAACTGAGCTGCTCTGGTAATCCATCACAGTGGATGTCAGCCATTCCAGTGCACTTTTTGTTCATTTGATTGTACGGTATGCACACCTGATTCTATGCTCTTTGTGCAGGATCATTGACTTTTACACAGTTACAGGGGAAATACTTGGTAAGGGTTGACCAACTGGGTTCCAGCAAGTATCTCTCTCACACACACACGTACACTCTGAATCCTGAATCCAGTTACAGCATGACAGCCACGAAGCAAGGAGCAAACAACGAGGCACCCATGAAGGCAACAGAACCCAAACAACACTTCAACAGCACCAGCAGCTTGAGCAGCATCACCAGCACCAGCAGCTGTGAAAGCTGAATGCTCCAGTTTCTTCCTGTCTGTCTCAACCGCAGCTACCCCTAGCTTCATTCAAGGCTCTAAGCACTCATGGTGGCAGAAGATGCAGAGGCTTGGGATGCTCCCGCCTCTATATCTCGCTTGTTACCGGTCGTTGTCACTCCCTTGTGGCCGCTGGTGTGTGCATGCGCACGGGTGTGGCTATGGCTGTGGCTGCTGTTGTGGGGGTGATGGCTGCTGCTGTGGGGATGGCTGCTGCTGTGCGGATGATGACGGTGGGGCCTGGCTGCACTTTCCCCTGCAACACCAGCAACACCCGCACGAGAAGCACCAGCACCAGAAACAGAGCGTCTGACCTCAGAAGCACCAGCAACGCCACCATCGACCTTGCTCCCATCCTCCACTCGCCTGCCGTCCCCATGCCCGCTCGGCCTCGCAAGCGTCTCATGCCCCTCCTTCCGCTCCTTCCTCGAACCACCACTCTGCAGCTTCCTCTCCCCAGCCGCTTTTGCGACCCCTCCACCCTCCCCTCCCTCCCTCCTCTCCTTTCTCGACCCTGCTGTGTGCAGCTTCCTCTCTCTGCCCCCCACTATGTCCGCTCCTCCACCCTCTCCTCCCTCTCTCCTCTCCTTCCTAGAGCCACCAGAGCGCAGTTTTCTCTCCCCTCGTTCCTCCTCGCTCTCCTTCCCCTCTCGTCCTTCCCGCCTCTCTTTTCGAGACCCGGCTGTACGCAATTGCCTCCCCCCCTCTCCCGCTATCCCCTTTTCCCTCTCGCCCCGCTCCTTCCTCTCTGTCCGTGACCCTGCACTGCTCAGCTTCCGCTCACCCCTCGCCCCATTCTCCTTGCTCCCTCCCTTCGCACTCTGCCCTCTCACTTTCACATCCACCTCCCTTGGCTGAGGTGCCTTACCTCCCCTGCTTGCATCTGCTTCAGCTTCTGGCAGGTCCCAATCCTTTGTCCCTCCCTCATCTTCACTCCGCTGGCTTTCCCTCGCTCTTTCACTGCTACTGCTCATGCTCCTACTGCTGCTTCTGCTTCTGCTTCTGCTTCTGCTTCTGCTTCTGCTTCTGCTTCTGCTTCTGCTTCTGCTTCTGCTTCTGCTTCTGCTTCTGCTTCTGCTTCTGCTTCTGCTTCTGCTTCTGTCCCTGCTGCTCTCCCCACTTCTATCCCTGCTGCCACTCCTGCTCCTGCCCCTACTGCTGCTCCTGCTCCTGCTCCCCCTCCTACTACCACTCCTGCTCCTGCTCCTGCTGTCACTCTCGCGGCGTCTATACCCATCACTTGCACTGCTCGGGCTCAGGCTCCCGCGTCTGCTCCTGCTCCTGCTGCGACTGTGGCTATTGCTGCGGCTTCGACTGCTGCGTTGGCTTGGGCTGACACTGCCGTCGGAATGGCTGCTGCTAGACCGTCTGCGATGGCTGCGCTGGCCTCGCACCCTGCTTGACAACTTTTCCCTCGACGAATGGCTGCTTTGAGAACCACTGCGGGACCTGCTACGGGATTTTCTAGGAGATCTGCTATGGGATCTGCTACGGGAGGTGGTCCCAGGCTCGCTCGGTGATCGGCTTCTGCTTCGGGACTGGCTGATGTACGACCTGCTTCCAGACCTGCTTCCGGACCTGCTTCTAGACCTGCTTCCAGACCTGCTTCCGGACCTGCTTCTAGACCTGCTTCCAGACCTGCTTCGGGACCTGCTTTGGGATCTGCTCCGGGAGTCGCTCTGACTCCTGCTGCTGCCTCCCACCCTATGATAGCGCCGATGGCTCCTCCTCCTCCTTTCTCTTCTCGAGGACCGCTGCACGTCCCTCTCCTCCACCTCACTTGCACTCGCCGTCAGACTCTCGCTATCACTCCCCACCCCGCCTCTTCCCACCTTCGCCCTTCGCTCTTCCTTTTCCTTCCACCGCGATCGCCCACTCTTGCCCTTCCTCTGCTCGGTATCTCTCTCCCTTGAGCTGTCTTTGCGCCGCGACCTGCTGCTGCTGCTGCTCCTGGAACTGCTTCTCCTGCGTCCCCTGCTCCCCCTCCTCTCCCTGCCTCCTCTGCCACTCTCCCTTCCACTGCTGCTCACGCTCCTCCGCCTCCCGCTCCTCCTCTCCCTCCTCTCCCTATCCATCTCGCTGTGGCTATCACTATCCGTCTGCGTCCGAAGGTCCTTCACTCGCTCCTCTCCCCGCCTCCTCCCCTTCCTACTCCCCTCCCTCCTCCCACCACCATCTTCCACCAAACCCTTCATCTGCTTCTCTCCAGCCCGTTTTCTCTCAATTACTTCTCCTCCTCCCCTTCCAGCTCCTCCTCTACCCCCTCTCTCGACCCCCTCCTCCCCTTCATTGTGTGCCACACTCAGTCTGCTCGGCCCACCAGACGCATACATCCCTTCTGCTCTCTTCGAATGGACCCGACCAGCAGCACCAGCAGCAGCATGCGCAGCAGAAGCAATGCCAGCAGCAGGGGAACTGGCACCACTGCTGGCAGCACTGCCCGTGCTGCTGTTATAGCTAGTCGCACGCCCCACAGGGTGATTCACCCGGCCCAGAGCATTCGACCCAGCAGAACCCAGCGACAAACCTCTAAACCCCCCCACCATCTGAACCTCAGCAGCATTGAAATAACCAGCACTGGCACCAGCAGCAGCAGCAGCAGCAGCAGCAACACCAAGGGCATGAGGAGCAGCAGGAAAGGGTCCAGGCGCACTGTGATCAAACCACTCATTCTCAGTGCGCCTCTCGATAAAACTCCCCGATCGCAGCGCATACCTCCGCCTCCCTCCCTGCTCCCCATCCGGGGGACTGCCCCTCCACTGCCCATACCCACTCTGAATCCCCCCTCCCCCTCCTCCCCCTCCCCCCACCCCTCCTCCGCCGCCCACTGCTCCTCCTAGAGCAAACTCCTCCATGCCCTCGCCCCCCACCCTCATACTCCGCTCCACAAAGCTGCCAAAGCGCCGGTCGTTGCCAAAGAGAGACCTACCGCCCAGGGGCGCTCGCCCAGGCACGGGGGAGTGGGAGGGGCTACCGAGGGAGCGAGTGGGGCTGTTGAAGGAACGCGTGGGGCTGGCGAAGAAAGGATGCAGGGCGGACGTGGACGCGGATAGAGGGAAAGCTAGTCCCCTGGGGCTGCGAGGAGGCATGCCCCCGCCTGCTGCCGCTCCCCCTGCTCCGGCTGTTGCTGACCCTCCTGCTGTTGCTGGCCCTCCTCCTGTTGCTGCTGTGGTTGATCCCATGCCTCCCATGCCGGGTGCATCCCATGGCCTGGTGCCTCCCATGCCCCCCGTTGCCGTGCCTGCTGCCCGCCTGGGGCTGACGAGAGGAACGCTTCTGGGGCTCACAGGCACCACGCTCGACTGCCGCTGCTGCTGTGGGCCAACTTGATGCGTCCCTGATCCCCCTGCGTGCGACCCGTATCCTCCGGCTTGCCTTGCACTGCCTGCTGTTGCAAAGCCACCCATGCGAGGGCTGCGAGGGCCCACCATGGACCCATGCGTACCATGCATGCCTTGCATGGCATGTGCGCCCGAGGAAGCAGCATCCATACTCACACTTTCATAGAACCCAAATTCTGAGCCAGAAGCAGCCATTGCCCCAGCCTTTCCTGCTCCACCCACAGTCCCTACTGCCCCTCCCATCCCCCCTCCCACTCCCCCGCCTGCGCCCCTCCCCATTCCTTTCATCCCATGCGCACCTGCTGGCCTGTAAGGACCGTCAGATGACTGAAGGATCATCCCCTGCGCCCCCTGCATGCCTCCCTGCATGCCCCCCTGCCCACCCCCCTGCACGCCTGTGAAAACCACATCTGACTGTGTGCGCCTGTGCCTCTGTGCTGCTGCCCCTGCCGCTCCTCCTCCCACCAAGCCTCGCCCCGCCATACCAACCCCTCCTCCTCGGCCAATTGAACCCCTGCCTGCCCCTGCCATCGGTTCCCGCCCTCTTCCCCTGCCCGCTGCCCTTCCTCCTCCCCGCCCCACTCCACTCGCCCCTCGGCCATACCCCTCAGCACCAGACCGACCTCCCCCAGTTGTGCCTCCCCCAGCTACACCTCCCCCAGTTGCACCTCCCTCCGCGGACAGGGACCTGGGCTGGACGGCGTGCAGGGGAGTAGCCATGGCCGCCTCCCCATGGTCATCATCGTCATCATCTGATTCATCGTCGGCTGAGTCATCATCTGATAAGCTATCGTGCCGGTCCAGAGACAAGTGGTCGTACCCGCCTTGCTGCTGCTGCCATTGCTGCTGCAGCTGCTGCTGCTGCTGTTGGTGTTGGTGCTGGATAACGTGTTGCTGATGCTGGTGGTAACCCTGCTGTATCGGCGATGCGCTGCTGGGTCGACGCATCTGCCCCTGCATTACAACCTTGCCTTTCACCACCTGCTGCTGCAGCTGCTGCTGCGACTGCGACTGCGGATACGCTGCTATCCCGTACGCACCGGGAGCCGCCCCGGCTGCTCTCATCCCACCAGCAGCAGCAGCAGCAGCAGCAGCAGTAGAGCCAGACGCGCCTGCAGCAGAAGAAGCAGCAGCAGGGGCGGCGAATGCGGGCCTGGCAGCAGCAGCAGCAGGCACGAGGTTCTCAGGGGGAGTGGAAGCTGTCCTGCGGTGCACTGGCCTCCTGGGCGACTGCTGCTGCAGCGGCTGCTGCAAATGCTGCTGCTGCTGCAGGTGTTGGTGCGGCTGCAGCTGCTGCTGGGCTGCCACAGCACCGCCCATGCCGCCCCCCACAACGCCCCCCTCCACGTCCTGCCCTTCCATCTCATGCTCTTCGATGCCCATCCCCGCCCCCATCCCCCCTCCCCCTATCCCCGCCCGCATCCCGCTACTAGGGCTTCCCCCTCCCCCTGCGCCGCCCCCAGGGGGAGCTTGGCTGGGGAGGGGCGTGGTGTTGCTTCGCGGAAACGACCCGGGTGTGGGTTTATTGGGACTTTCTCCCCGTGGCCCGTCGAAGGAAATGCTTCGATTTGACTGCCACGGTGCTGTCCCAACCAGCTGGCTCGGTACCGCACCTGGCAAGTGGTTCGGGGACCCCGAACCAGGGGCACCGATGCTCATCACTGCATGTCTCACTGGGTCCATTCCTGCCGAGCCAAAAGGCCCCGAAGCCGAGCTTCCGGTATGGGGCCGAGCCTGAGGGCCTCTCCCCGCGACCATGGCTTGCGCCCTCCCCATTCTCCCGCCAGGTCCCCCTCCGCGCGACATTCCTGTGTACGGGGGAGCCCCGCGGGGAGAAACCGCGATATGAGTCCCCCCTGCGCCCCTGCCACGACCAGGTCGCGCATTGCCCGCGGGCGCGCCAGCGGCGGAACCTGCGCCAACTCCCCGCGCGAGTTCCTCCGCCATTACAGCTGTTCCGCCCGCATCCATCCCCATCTCCCACCCGTTCCCATCCGAGCTGCCCCCTTGGAACGCGCCAACGGCGCTAACAGACATTGCGCGCCGATGCTGATGTGGCCTCTGCTGCCGCGCCTGCGGCGGCGGCTGCTGCTGCTGAATCATCCCTGCTGGTTGCCCGCCTTCCCATCTGCCATAATCATCCCCCACACCGCCAGTTCTTGCGCCATATCTTCCACCAACAAGCCCGCCTCCCCCGCGCCTTGCCCCGCCCCCGCCCCGTGGAGCCGCAGGACTGCCGCGGCTGGCGTCGGGAAGCATGCGATCGGGGGGAGAGCGACGAGGTTCGGGTTCGAAACCTGCTGTCGGGTATTCCATAGAGCCTGTTGGAGCACCCGATATAACATCGTACGTTAAAGGTACAAGTCGTTGCTGTGAAGCGGGATAAGTTAAACCGCCAGCGCTAGCACTGGCAAGACCATTAGGGTTAGCAAAGTTGTCAGAAGTGGACAACGTCTGTTGCTCTGGAGATGATCGCCTGGCGACGGGATTGGCCCCTGCCACGTCGCTCGCGATGGAATTGGCGACACCGTCATGCGATTGTCGGCTGTTAGGCATTTTTAAAGCATTGTCGGCTGTCAGGCATTTTAGGTGCAGGCTATGGCGGTGTGGATCAGCTGACGGTGTTCGGTCAGTGTGGATAAGGTGAGGTTGAGAAAGGATATGGTGCGTGCGATGCGACCAGAGGGGTCTGCTTTCTGGTGGTTGCATTGCAAGCAGGGAATGTCGCTGGATGAGGTTCATGGTTGGCGTTCATTGCTATCATCGCACAATGTCGTCGGTGATTCCGTACAGAATCTTTGTGCGACCTGTGCGACGTCATTCCCCAGTTGGTTGGCTGGTGGGCAGGGCACGTCGGGGTTTACTTCGTCTTATACGATTCAGTCCGTTTTCTCACGGTTTATCTCTGTTACAGACATCTGTAGAAAACCGTGCTGCTGGTGGTGATATGATGCTCCTTGAACGAAGTGCTTGGCATATTGTGCATATTGTACATTCAACATGAAACGATTCCATGCTTTATCCGTATTAAAGCGTCATATGCTAAACAAAATCGTCTCTTGCCGAGGATTTCCAGTTCACGAACACCCCACCACAAGCCTGACACACGGCTCTGGAAGTCCCGGCACTTCCCCATAGCTCCACTGACTGGCTATTCTGTGAAGGCGTTTCCTCCAACCAATGGTGTTGGACCCCGTCTGACTCGTGTCGCCTCCGTCTTCGGCGAAACAATTTGTGTGCACCCGCACACAACCAATCCAACCACAAGGCTGGCTTGTTTTCTAGTCAAGGAACCAAAAACTCCCGTAAATACGCTACTTCATAACCCTATCAGGGCAAATCCTCGGAAATGCAGTGAAACGTATTTTCTAAATTCCAGAACCGATATATGAAATGGGCTTATGTTCGTGGGAATGTCCATGGAACAATGGTGGAGTAGCATATTTGAAAGTTGCAACTTCTGTTGCACAACTCCGTTCTTCAAGGGGTTCAATTGGCCTCTTGGGCCGGAACTTCGAAACTACGGGCATTGGGATGGTGTTTCAGAAGAAGCGCCTCGATAGGCATGGAGAAGGCGCTTCGATTTGTGAATTCCACGCTGTCGAACTGACAGAGGCAGAAGCAGACACCATCCTGTCTCGGTCAATGCCTTCCCTCCCCCACCTGACCCATCTTCGGTGCAACCTTCATCTGCGCCTCCGTGTTTCCTCGAGCCATTTCCTCAAGCCACCAACATAATCGCAAGCTGAATTCGTCGCAAGCCCTGGGTAGACAACTAGCAAGACATAGTCGGTGACTTTCATTTCAAATTCCAGATTCGGCCTCGGATTCCGCCTATGTCAGCTTCCCCCCTGCCAGGCCCAATTACGTCTCTGCCAGTCTATGAGGACGAGACGCACATGCCAACCGTTTTCTCACGACAGTTCCTATACTACTCACCGCTTTCAGTTTTCAGTCACCATGCCGCAACGCTCGGCCCAGTGTCTCGCATCACTCGTCTTTCTCTGCGCATTCCTCTGCCTCAACTCCGCAAAGTCTCAACCACAACGCGACGCACACGCACACCGGCGACGTGACCGTTTACAGATACCGCGTTTCTCATCGTCGCAACAACAGACCGTCCTAGTGGACACGCCTTCCATTACTCCCGCCCTTCGAGGCGAAGTTTCGGTTGATAAGCGCGAAGGTTCCTTCATAGTGCGCGCCGAGCCGGTTCCTAAACGCGTCCTCAGAGTCATATCGCCGGAATTCGCGCATGCGGGGAGACGGAGACTGAAGGGAGCTGAGAACGCGGCGGCTGAAGGAAAGGAGACTGGCGAGACGTGGACGGAAGCGGAGGAGCATGCTCTCGTCATTCCCAAGGGCGTGGCGTTTTATCACCGGGGGAAAAACAGCGGCCGGCAGGGCGGGGGAAGCGGAGGGGCGGGGACTAGACTAGCCGCGCCGATCGGTATCACACCAGGGAAAGGGGGCCGCGGAAAGCGGGGGGGGCAGGCTTCGGGAGGGACGAGCAACGGCGGAGCGGGGAAGTTCCCCGTGATTACCCCGGGGGGAAAAAACTCGACGGGCAGCGGCGGCGGCGGCACCGGCGGTGGGGGGGGGATTCCGCCGAAGAAGAAGCGGGGCGGGCCGAACGGCGGATGGACGCTGGGGAAGGAGCGGAGGGTTTCGCTATCCTCCGCGCAAGAGATGAAATTCGGCAACGGTCAGTTCGGAAAGGGCGGGAAAGTGACGTACCATGGCGGCCCGGTGATGACCAAGTCGCCGATTAGGATTTACCTTATTTTCTACGGCGACTGGGACGCGACGACGGTGCAGCTGTTTCACAAGTTCGTCGACTCTATATCGGGGAAATACAAGACGCCGGCTGACCGTTACAATGTAACGCGGTGGTGGGATCTGACGGCGGCCGGCACGCAGGCGGACGGCAAGCGCGTGAGCTCGAACGTGGCGCTGGGGAAGTCGGCTCTTGATAGGAACTACGTGTCGGGCGGCGGGAAGGTTCTGCGCAACTACCAGAAGGACGTGGTAGCCAGTAAGTCGCTTTCTTACGTTCAGTGTTGTAAAGAGTTAACGAATTCGGTCACCATTTTGAAAAAATGTGCGCCATACTTCAGAATCGCCTCAGGACTTACCGGTAATTCTTTAGGTTCCCCAAGATCCCACTCAGGCGCATTCTTTGAAACTCTTTTGCTGTTTGCTTCCATAACCGCCCACTGTCTGCCGATTCACTACTTCTCCCAAACTCTAACGCCCCCGCTGCCTCCTGCCTCTCGGTTTGCCTTCTTTTGCCTGCGCCCCACACCCACCCCTTTATGTTTCACTTGGTCCCCGCCTCATCATGCCTGCGCCTTTCACCTTCCCCCTCCCCGCCCACCCCTCTGCAGTCATCAACTACCATCTACGGAGCAAGTTGCTGCCCTTCGACACGGACGGCATCTACATGGTGATGACGGATCCGACGGTGGAGGTGAAGAGCAGCGATCCCAGGGACGGATTCTGCACGCGATTCTGCGGTTACCACAGCTACGGCCAGGACGCGCTGGGCAAGGCCCTGAAATTCGGATTCGCGGGGCACTCCGCCCGCTGCCCCTCGCAGTGCACCCGACCGCTTCCCTAGTGAGTAACTTGCTACAATGTAGATGTCTTTTTCCTAGACCAGCGATCCCAGGGACTGATTCTGCACGCGATTCTGCGGTTACCACAGCTACGGCTAGGACGCGCTGGGGAAGGCTCTCTGCTCGCTGCCCCTCGCAGTGCACCCGATCGCTCCCCTAGTGAGTGACTTGCTACAATGCACTGGTCTGCTACCGTGATGAGTGACTCGCTGCGTCGTATCGGAGCCACACTAGCTCGTTCACTCGCAATGCACGTAGCACGTTTCCATAGCAGCCTCTTGCTGCACATGCTGTAGGTCTTTGCTTGGCCATGTGACCTGAGCGCATCAATGCTTATGGTGAGGGGGTTCCTTTTCATGCATATACAGCGACTGCCTTAGAGCAACGGTATACAAGGGGGTTGCACGACGGAAAAAGCACCAATCTTTTTCACTAGCTCAATTTTGTCTCTCTTCCTCTCGTACTTATTCTTCCCACCATTGCAGTGACACATTCAATGGAATCAACGTAGACGCCACTCTATCCACATTCGCCCACGAAATAGCGGAGGTAGCCCAGGACCCGCTCTTCACGGCATGGTATGACCACGATCAGGTGGAGGGCGCGGACAAATGCACGTACATATATGGGGATGGCTGGGTGAATCCCCGGAATTCAGCGGCTTATAACCTGATGGGGCGGAGAGGGTCGAGATTTTTGATCCAATCGATGTGGAGCCTTGATAAACAAATGTGTGTACAATAGAACTTCAAGGCTCTTACACTGATTTTTTTACATTTCTGTTTTTTTCTCTTCCTGCATGATTGGAATTCAATAATCGTGTATCTTGATAGTTTACGTGTCTAATATAGAAGTACATTTTACAGAACCCTACGACTTGTTTTTGTCTCGCAATGACTCTGCTAATAGACCGGTTCAACGCTCTGCTCGTCAGCGCTGCTCGTAAGTGATGTCAGAAGGAGTCAGTGCCAGGTCAGGAATTCGTCCCCCTTCGCGATGCCTTCGGATTGGGAATACCATAACATCCTCCCGCAACAGCAATGCGCAACAGGCGCAGCAATACTGAAGTTGAAAGAATGTTGGCGAATGTTGGCGAAGGCAAACTTCGCCTAACAAGGGTGGCGAAGGGTGATGAGTTTGTTGCCCATCGGACAGCTTACTGTTTGACTGCTTTCGAGTTCAAGAATCTTGACGAATGCCACATGGGTGGATGCATCTGAACTTCGGAACTGTGTTGTGTGAGTGACTCTCAAGGGTTTTACAAAATGCTTTACAAAATATACGACATATGTGAAAGCTTGTACATATTTGGTATCAACTCAAAATTGGCATCACCGTGTACCGTAATACTATTTATGTGTGGGTAATTGTAAACGACCTGCACTTTTGTTCATTACGAAACAGTTCCGCGAATCAATACTAGTACCAATAACTGCAACCAAGGACATGACCAAAATTTCCTAAATAAATTTGTCCAATCCACCTCGTCCCAATTACCACTCGTCCGGTTCACAACCACGAAAGGTGAGTGGTGGTGCTGCAGGCACAAGTCAGGGACCCAATTTGAGAAAACCCAGGAGTGTGAAACAAACAAGCGGACACGGGTAGCAAGAAGGAAAGAGGGTGGGGAAGAGAGTGAGTAAGGAGAGGAAGAGAGGAGTGGGGCGGAGAGAGACGCCAAGGGAGAAGAGGACAAGGAAGGGAAGGGGCGAGAGGACAAGGAAGGGGAGGGGTGTGGAATAAGGGCCGAGATCAGAGGGGAGGGGAAAAACGAGTGATGAGAAGAGGAGGGAGAGGAGGGAGGAGATGGCGACGAAGGGGAGGGGGGGGGGGGGAAGAGGAGGATGAGTGTGGGCAGGTGGGGTGAGAGGAGCACGTGTGTTGCTCGCTGCGTCCCCCTGCGCTGCCGTTCCAACTGCCACCAGGGAAGTGGGAAATGAAATGGCGAGGAAGGGGGTTTGGAGCAAAGGGAGGAGGGTGAGGGGAAGCGGAGGGGGGGGGGTGGGGGGGATGGGGCGGGGTGGGGGGGGGGGGGGGGGGGGGTGGGGTGGAGAGGGGTGTCTGGGTGGGTGTATGTGAGAGGGGAAGTGGGGAAGCAGCGTAGAGCGAGAGGTGATGAGAGATTGGAGAGTGTACGAGAGTGGAGAATGAGGTGATTTCTTTGCCACATTAGGCTTGCAGGAAAAGGAGGAGAGGAATGGTGGGAATGAGAACAGAGGAAAGGAGAAAAGCGGGCAGAAACGGAAGGGTGGAAATCATAAGCGAGCGAAAGGAGGAGAAGGGCTGTAGGTGCAAGGGAATGGGTGAAACGGTGAGTGGGAGGGGAAGTGGGGAAGCAGCGCGGAGGGAAGGGGCAGCAGCGCGTGTGAGAGTGGGGAGAAGCGCGTACGGAAGGGGCAGCAGCGCGTGTGAGAGTGGGGAGAAGCGCGTACGGGAGAGGGAGGGGAGGGTGATGGGATGAAAGAGCGGGTGGAGATGGGCAGAAATGGGATAAGGAAGACGGAGAAACATGAGGGAAGGACAAGGAGATAGTGAGGGAGGGACTAGGGGAAAAAAGGAGGGCAGGACAAGGGAGACGGGAAGAGGTGGCGTGCATGGGGTGAGGCGCGTGGCAGGAGGATGGGGTGGAATGGGGGGGTGCAGAGAGGCGGGAAGGCAGGGAGGCCCTTGCAGCGGATAACCCTTACCTGCACATCTGGGGCCGCCCACCCCACCCGGGACCGCCCACCCCACCCGGGAGTGCCCACCCCACGGCACCCACCCCACCCCATGGCACAACCCTGAGGAGGCGTGGGAGAGGCATCGCGGGAATGCTACTGCTGCTCCACCCACTCCCCATGCCACTGCTGCTGCCGTTCCCTCCTGCCACACCTCCACCGCCACTACTGCCAGCAAAGAGGTCGATCAGCGCCGACCTGGTAGCGGGGTGGTGAGGGGGGAGGGCAGGACGGTGAGAGTGGAGGCAGGACGGTGATCAGGGAAGTTGAGGCGCACCTGCATGCAGCGAGCAAAGCCCCCGCTCCAGCACTGCTCTGCTTCCTGCACTTGGAGAGGGGCTGAGGGGGAAAGGAGGAGAGGGGCTGAGAGGGAAAGGAGGAGAGGGGCTGACGGAGAAAGGAGGAGAGGGGCTGAGAGGGAAAGGAGGAGAGGGGCTGAGAGGGAAAGGAGAAGGCGGATTCTGGAGCGTCTACCACACCACCATGCTGCTCGCCAGCTCAGATAGCGACAACTCGGCGGCTGCCTTGGCAACGGCCTGCGAGCGCGCTCTTGCTCCCTTCCGTTTTTCCCATTGTCTCACCCTCCCTTTTCCCCGTGTCCTTCCTCGGCAGCGCTCTGCGAGCGCGAGCGCAAGGGCTTCCGCCGCTGCTGCGCGCGTATTCCCTGCGTGCATATTAGGTCGTCCGCCAGCATAGTGGCGCAGGCGGAAGCGTGGGTGGCGGAAGACGCGGAGAAGCGCAACGAGGAACCGATGGCAGAGCCATTGAACTGAAAGGATGCGGTCCAGGCAGGGAGTGCGACGGGGGGAGTGCGCGACGAATCGAGTGAGCGATGCGAATGAGGGACGGATGACGAGCGGCGGAGAGGGAAGGGAGGCACGGGAGGGACACGCGCTACGGCAGGAGCGAATGCGGGACGGAAGCGAAGCGCGCGACAGAAGTCCCATTACAAAATCCTGGGTGCTCGGCGTAGTTATCGGTAGCTAACGATATTGTGGGCTACGGAGCCTACTACTCAACGAGTCAAGAAAGGTAGCTTGAAGCTTCAAGTTTCCGGAAGTGTGAACAGTGAGTGGCCCCGGTTCTTGTTTGTTCTGGCGAGTGTCTAGAGTGGTTTTGCTGTTGTGCTTTTGGCCAATCATTTTACTGCGCTCCAAACACCTTCACAGTGGATCGCGACCCACACAAAAGCGGGTTACCTTGTTCACTGACGAAATCATGTTCAAGAATCTTGAACTTGAACACTTGCCATTCTAGACTCGGGCTTTGAGAAGCACAGCACTAGCTAGCAAGCGTACCTCGAGTCTGACAGTCGTCGAATTTTCGTAAAATTGCGCGTCCGATTTTCACAGGAAGTGATTCATTCCAGTCCGATTCGCATATTTACGCAAATCCGCAAGCACAGCCCTGAGGACGCTTTTCGAGCTGCGCTAGAGCTCCAGCGCCCGTTGCGTTGCGTCGAGCCGCGTTACTGCAGTGGCGCTGTCTTCCTCTCCGGAAGGACCGTCAAGCTTTTTAGTCGATTCGGAATTCGGCCCGTTGCTGCGTCGAGCCACTGCGACTGTGACACTGTTTGCCTGTCCCGAAGCACCGTCAAGAATAGCGAATTCCTCCTATAACGAGCCTTTCCAGAAGCCTTGTGCTCTTTGCGTCGCTTAGAAGTCGCCAGTCTCAGGAATTTAACGAGCCCCTTCTGCCGCGACTCAGTAGTCGCCACCATGGCGGCCGCGCCGCTAGCCTCGTTCGTCCCCGTGCCTCCCAACTGCCACTTCCCGAACCAGAACCTCCCGTTCGGCGTCTTCCGACCCTCACCGGGAGGCTCGGCACGAGTGGGCGTCGCAATAGGCGAGCAGGTTCTGGACCTGTCGGTGGTGGCGGACGCGGGGCTGCTGGGCGACGTGGGCGACGTGGTTAAAGACACGGCATGTTTCCACCAGGTAGTGTCGCACAGACGAGAGAGTCGCACGGGCGAGTCGCACAGGTGAGAGTGTTGCACGGGCGATCGGCGAGCAGGTTCTGGACCTGTCGGTGGTGGCAGACGCGGGGCTGCTGGGGGACGAAGTCAAAGACACGGCCTGCTTCCACCAGGTAGAGTCGCACCGGAGGCGAGGGTGTCGCACAGGTGAGTCGCACAGGAGGCGAGAGTGTCGCACAGGTGAGTGAGTTGCACGGGCGATCGGCGAGCAGGTTCTGGACCTGTCGGTGGTGGCGGACGGGGGGCTGCTGGGGGCAGTGTGCGACGAAGTTAGGGACACGGGCTGCTTCCACCAGGTGCGAGTCGAGTGTTGCACGCTAGAGAGTTGCACGGGCGAGAGTGCTGTACGCGAGACTGTCGCACGGGCATCACACCGTCCTCCTCCAAACTCCCCAAGCACCTCCTGCCAGGCATCACCGAACGCGTTCATGGCGCTGGGCCGTCTGCCCTACCCTTTCTCTTCCGCAACACACTTTCCTCTTCCACACCCCAGCTCCCCACTCACATCCTCCTCCCCCCACATACCTCCTCCCCCCACCAGGCGTCACTGAACGCGTTCATGGCGCTGGGCCGTCTGCCCTACCCTTTCTCTTGCGCAACACACTTTCCTCTTCCATACCCCACCCTCCCCACTCACATCCTCCTCCCCCCACATACCTCCTCCCCCCACCAGGCGTCACTGAACGCGTTCATGGCGCTGGGCCGTCTGCCCTACCCTTTCTCTTGCGCAACACACTTTCCTCTTCCACACCCCACCCTCCCCACTCACATCCTCCTCCCACCACCAGGCGTCGCTGAACGCGCTCATGGCACTGGGCCGACCTGTGTGGCAACGCACTCGCACTGCCCTCCCTCCTCCAAAACACACCTTCCTCCTCCACTCCCCACGCACCTCTCCCCCCCGCCAGGCGTCACTGAACGCGTTTATGGCACTGGGCCGACCCGTGTGGCAACGCACCCGCACTGCCCTCCAGCGCCTGCTCTCTGGTGAAACCACCTGACCAACCACCTGATAGAAACGCCCACGTTGTTTCCAGATGCTTCGGGTACAACCTTGCTTTGTTCTTGTGGTTCCGGTCCTGTGAATGTTGCATATACATATCCATGGTTCAGGTGCCTTGCAACCTCAGGTGCCTTGCAACCTCAGGTGCCTTGCAACCTCAGGTGCCTTGCAACCTCAGGTGCCTTGCAACCTCAGGTGCCTTGCAACCTCAGGTGCCTTGCAACCTCAGGTGCCTTGCAACCTCAGGTGCCTTGCAACCTCAGGTGCCTTGCAACCTCAGGTGCCTTGCAACCTCAGGTGCCTTGCAACCTCAGGTGCCTTGCAACCTCAGGTGCCTTGCAACCTCAGGTGCCTTGCAACCTCAGGTGCCTTGCAACCTCAGGTGCCTTGCAACCTCAGGTGCCTTGCAACCTCAGGTGCCTTGCAACCTCAGGTGCCTTGCAACCTCAGGTGCCTTGCAACCTCAGGTGCCTTGCAACCTCAGGTGCCTTGCAACCTCAGGTGCCTTGCAACCTCAGGTGCCTTGCAACCTCAGGTGCCTTGCAACCTCAGGTGCCTTGCAACCTCAGGTGCCTTGCAACCTCAGGTGCCTTGCAACCTCAGGTGCCTTGCAACCTCAGGTGCCTTGCAACCTCAGGTGCCTTGCAACCTCAGGTGCCTTGCAACCTCAGGTGCCTTGCAACCTCAGGTGCCTTGCAACCTCAGGTGCCTTGCAACCTCAGGTGCCTTGCATTTCATGTCCCTTCTCCCTGTCACCATGTTTCTCCTTCCCTCCCACACTTGTGCCACAACATGGACTTCAAGCCTCATGGGATGGGACACAATATATGCCCTCCCCCCCCCCCGCCTCCCCCTCCCCATCCTCCCAGTCGCGTGTGTGCAAATGGAGATGCCAGCCGTGATAGGCGATTACACGGACTTCTCTGCCTCCGGCCACCACGCCTCCAAACTCTCCATGCACCACCCTCCCTCTCGCCCCTGCTTCCCTTCCCCATCCTCTCCCAGTCTCGTGTGTGCACATGGAACTACCAGCAGCGGTAGGCGACTACTCGGACTTATACTCCTCCCACCACCACCGTGCACCTACCCTTCCCGCTCCCCCCCCTCTTCCTTCCCCATCCCCTCAGGCGCGTGTGAGCATGGAGCTACCAGCAGTGATAGGCGACTACACGGATTTCTACGCCTCACGCCACCACGCCACCAACGTGGGTCGCCTCTTCCGAGGACCCGGCAATGAGCTGCCGAAGCAGTGGTGAGGGGCAGTGGTTAGCGGCATGGAAGGGGGGGAGGAGGTCTTGGGACCCCTTTGGAAAAAAAGGTCACACCCGCCACCACACCACCAACGTGGGTCGCCTCTTCCGCGGACCCGGCAAAGAGCTGCCGAAGCAGTGGTGAGAGAAGGGGGGGGAGGGAAGCAGCAGGTGATGGGCAATGGGGTTGGAGGTAGAGGTGGCACGGCTGAAGGAGGGGAACGAGCAGCTGTGCGCCCAGCCGCTACTGCTGAGTTCCAGACTAATTTGGTGAGTGCACAGCAGCAGCAGCAGCACCTGTGCACTCACCAAATTAGTTTGAAACTCAGCAGTAGCGGCTGAGCGCGCAGCTGCTCATTCTCCCTCTTCAGCTGCGCCACCTCCGCGTCTACCTCCATTGCCCATCACACCTGGTCATGGGGAGCAGCACTTGCGCCCCTTCCAGAAGACCTGGCAATGAGTTGCCGCCCAAGTGGTGAGCAGCACAGAGGGTGAAGAATGGGGGAGAAAGTAGGTTTCACAGAGTTGGGTGGCGGCACACTGGTGAGGGATGGCAGAGTGCAGGTGGATTGTGGGGCGCAGAGTGGTGCTGGAAGGGTGGAACTCGAGTCAAGTCAACATCCACACTCGTGCATGTGCTCTTCCATCCCACCTTCGCCCACATGCTTACCCTTCTCTCACCTTCGCCCACATGCTTACCCTTCTCTCACCTTCGCCCACATGCTTACCCTTCTCTCACCTTCGCCCACATGCTTACCCTTCTCTCACCTTCGCCCACATGCTTACCCTTCTCCCACCTTCGCCCACATGCTTACCCTTCTCTCCCACCTTCGCCCACATGCTTCTCCCACCTTCGCCCACATGCTTACCCTTCTCTCACCTTAGCCCACATGCGTACCCTTCTCTCTGCCTGTGATGCCGTGCCATGCTGTGCTTTGGTGTGGTATGGCTTGTTGTGGCATGGCATGGCCTACCAGGTTGCACATGCCCATTGCATACCATGGCAGGTCGTCGTCTGTTGTGGTCTCCGGCACTCCCATTGTGCGACCCAGGTGAAAACCACAATGGCTCAGGTGAGAAGAGAACCACAATGGTTCGAGTGAAAGCACAGTGGTTCAGGTGAGAACCACAGCGGCTCGGTGGCTCAGGTGGAAGATCAACCGACTGACCCAACGCGTGGCTGCACACAACCATCAGCAACACAATCCGCCTCAGCATTCATCAACAGTTGAATAGCAGAATGGCTTTCCAACATTCAGATTGCACCGCCTCCGCTCCGTCCTGACTCCCCCCTCCTTCCCCTCCCTCCCTTTACCCGAACCCGTCATCTCGCCACCACTCCCCCGGCAGGGGTCAGTTGGGGCTGCCTGCTTCGTCCACCACACCCCTCGCCCCTCTCTTCGGCCCCACACAGCAGCTTGACTTTGAGCTCGAGATGGTGAGTGGGTGGGGCGTGGCACAGAAGCATATCCTTTCGTGCGTGTAGTGCAGAAAAATCACTCGTCCTTTTCACCCTCTGCCCTGCCGTTTTCCCTTGCGCCCCTTGCCCGCCCACCCCACGTTCGCCAGGCGGTGTTGATGGGGCCGGGCAATGAGACGGGGGAGAGCACCCGCGTGGCGGGTATTCTTGAAGCGCCTCAGAAGTATTGCCCTTTCGCCCTTTGCCCATCCCCCTTCCATCCCTTTCCCTTCTTCCCCACACGTCTCAGGCGGTGTTGATGGGGCCGGGCAATGAGAGGGGGGAGAGCACCCGCGTGGAGAGGGGGCGCTGATCTAGTTTTAGACGTCTCAAAACTTCATCTTTCACCCCACGTGTGTCAGGCGGTGTTGATGGGGCCGGGTAATGAGAGGGGCGAGAGCATTCCTGTGGAGGGGGCGCTTGACTGCTGCTTTGGCATGGTGCTCTGTAACGACTGGAGCGGTGAGATGAAATGCCTGGAGCGGTGAGATGAAACGCCTGTAGCGTCGAGATGAAACGCCTGGAGCGTTGAGATGAAACGACTGGAGCAGTGAGATGAAACGACTGGAGTGGTGAGATGTAACGACTGGAGCGGTGAGATGAAACGACTGGAGCGGTGAGATGTAACTACAAAACATGCACAGTGAAGCAAGCAATGGACCTGCCGTTTCTCAGATGCCCACCCTGTTCCCTTCCCGTCCTGCTTCCTTCCACCATCAATCCTCCCCACTTGCCCACCTGCCTTTCTTGGTCCAGCGAGAGACATCCAGCGGTGGGAGTATGTTCCCCTCGGCCCTTTCCTCGGCAAGAACTTTGGTGAGCTGGGCGAGAGGGGGGGTGGTTAGGGTGTGTGGTCAATGAGGGGAAAGTGTAGGCTTGGGGAGGGGATCTGGGCAGGGGCTGATGTGCATTTGATATGGCAGGATGGGCGGGCCAGAGTGGTGTGGCCATGGCTTCGGCAAAATCTAGTGCATTCGCACATCATGTGTATCCGTACTTGCATCGTGCATAAATTTGTGTCGTCAATACCCATCTCCCCCCTCCCATACCATGTGTGGCAGCCACGACCATATCCCCCTGGGTCGTCACTATGGATGCTCTTCGCCCCTTCATCTGCTCCCCGCCTCCTCAGGTGTTCCTCATCCCCTCAGGTGCTCCCTCAGGTGCTCCTTCAGGTGCCCCTTCAGCTGCTCGTTCTCCTCCTCCAGTTTTGAATTCCTTCCATTCCCTCACCTTCGTTATAATATCTTTGTCGTTCTCCTTCAGTATTGTAACCTCTGTTTCCTCAATTCTATGTCAACATGAGAAACCTAATTTCCTTGCCTTCAGCATAGCAACGTGACTTGAATCCACTCTCACTCATCACTCATCGTGATTCCTCCTTTCCTGCTCTCCTCGTCTGACCCCCCATTCTGTCACCACCCCTCACCGCTCCAACCACTGCCCATCCCACCAACCGTACCCCACCGCACAGGAGCCAGAGCCGCTGCCGTACCTCCAGGACCCCAACCCGATCACCTTCGACATTCACCTGCAGGCAAGCGCTGCTTGGGAAGAAAAGGGGGGGGGGGAGAGAGGAGAAGGGGGAGAGGGAGGAGAGGGGGGAGAGGGGGGGTGTGTGGGCTTGTGCTTAGGCCAGCGTGAGTGGGGATGGAGGTTCGTGGGCAGGTGAAAGGAGCTTAGTGGGCTTCGCAGTGTGGATGGATTGGATTGGATTGAGTTGGACTGAACTGGATTTTGTTGGATTGAATTCGATTTAATCGAATAGATCCTTTCCTTGCAAAGCATGCACCTGCTGCTTCTAAGTACTCTCCATGGCTCTTCCCCCCTTCCCCACCCTCTCTCCTTTCTGTTTGTCCTGTCCTGGATCCTCCAAGTATGCTTTCACCACTCGTCATCACCTCCCACCTCTCCTCCCCTCCCCTCCCCTCCCGTCCCCACAGGTCTCCCTTGCTCCCTCAGCACCTCCCCTCGCAGCCACATCACATTCTCCTCCTAACCCCCCTCCGGTACCTGCAGAAACCACACCATCCACCACTCTATCGTCCACAGGAAACTTCCCTCCAGTCGTTCCTCCCGCCATGCCTCCGTGCCCGCATGCCCTCCTGTCCCCTGAAGCTCTGGACTCCGCTCCCTCTGCCGCAGGGAATGCGTCACTCTTCCACAGGCTGCCGGCTGTAACTGTGTGCTGCAGCAACTTCAAACACCTGTCAGTGCCTTGTGCCCATGGGTGCATGCATGCTGGGCATGGGAGTGCTTGTATCACTTCTAAAAAAACTCAAAATCCCACAAGCTGAGGACAATTCGCTCTCCCGTAGATTGCCTCCTGTCACACACACCATGTTTGCCTGTGCTCCTTTGCTGTACCAACACCCTCTCCCCCCCTCACCCACTCTTCCTCCTCCTCCGCCTGCACAGGTACTGGACGGTGGCACAGCAAGTGGCGCATCACACCATCAACGGCTGCCCGCTGCGCCCGGGCGACCTGCTTGCTTCAGGCACCATCTCCGGCCCTGTCAGTCTCACTCACGCCCTCCCAGCTGCGTTCATCCTTCCCCCCTGCTGCACCAAGCGCCGCTCTTCTTTCCCACATCGCCGTCTCACTGCCCTCCAGTGGCGTTGCCTCACACCATTCATCCTACCTGCTTCCGCACCCCCATTCCTTCCCATGTGCATGCACCATCCCCTGCTGCTGCCCCCAGTGATCCCAGGAAGAGGGCAGTGAGGGGTGTCCGCTAGAGCGCACACAGGCAGGCAGCCTCACCCTGGAGCTGTCCTCACAAGGGTGTTAGGTCATGAGACGTATCAAAACACCTGCTTCCGCATGCCCTTTCCTTCTCATATGCATGCGTCATCCCCTGCTGTCGCTGCCCCTGGTCCCAGGTGGAGGGCAGTGAGGGGTGTCTCCTAGAGCTCACACAGGCAGGCAAACTCACTCTGGAGCTCTCCCCTCAAGGATGTACAGTTGCAGACGACTCTTCCCAAGCCTCCGACCAAAGCTTAGCCCTGGGGACTGTGCACCGAACGTACCTGGAGGACGGGGATGAGGTCATTATGACGGCTACCTGCCAGGTGGTTTGCACTCTGACTCTTATCAGCGCCTGTTGCTGTCACCTCCTTTTTAATGTCGCCACTGTTCATGGCATCGCCACTTCCTGACATTGCTGCCCGTTCTTGCTACAATTTTTCTTTACTTTTCTTTTTTGCTCATGATATGGCTTAGTTGTTCCTCCCTTCTATGCCCACTGCGCCCCCTCTCTCAGCTGCCACAAGGTGTGATGATTGGGTTTGGAGAATGCAGAGGCGTAGTGCTTCCTCCCGCATATGGTCGTTCCAAATTAGGTGCAGTGCTGTTTCGACCCGACGATGTTTTGGCGCCGCAGACGGCAGATTGACGAGGCAGCAAGTGAGACGAAACCTTAGAGGAATTACACGGTACTCGTGGGTTGAGCGACACCGTGCAATTGTTTTATCACTGGTAGGCACATGCATGTAATTGTACGGTGTAATACCGTAGAAACAAAACGCATGGCAAAAGCTACAACGGGTTGGTGGCTTATTTCGCCTTGAAAGATGTAATGTACGGTAACGTGAAGAACTAAAAGTCATTGTTGCAGATGGAGCTTGAATGGAATGGAAACACGACTTGATGTGTGAGGGGGGAAAATGCAATGATCCGAATATGTAGTCTCAAACTATATTGTAACAGTAATGAACAATTAGATATGGCATACTAACGGGGTCTATTGACGCCAATCGAGACAGACGGTTGCACAACTGGCGACTCACGGCGGCACCTGAAGGGGCAGAGGCCTGCCTGAGCTTGGCATTTCCAGGTGGCACGTTGTAATTGCGTAATTCATACCCGTTTCACTTGACAGTCCTCAGTCATCCCCAACACTTCGCGAATCGCGAACGTGGCTGACTGGATTTTCAATTTGAGAGGTTTTCCTCTTCCGTCACCGCCATGGCAGCACCATCACGACAAAAGTTCCGAGACGCTCATGCCACGCGACTCGGTCTTGCAAGTTTGGTGTACACCTTGTTCTCGATAATTTCACACCCCCTACCCCTTTTTTCGTAGGTGCCCTTAACGTTTTTAGGTTTGATGCGACGGACACCCAGTGATTGGAGGACTATCATTAGACAACCGGCAGGCCTCTCTAGAACGAAAGTCGCACTTCTTCAGAGTGAAGTGTTTAGGTAAGCTCGGGTTGCCTTTTATATTCTTGGTGCCCCCTGTCAATTCGCGAAAGTACGTCGGACCCTCCTTCAGGGATTTCCTAAACGTCGTTAACTACCCTACGAAAACGTTTGACCTAGGGTATGTACCCCAGGGTGTGAGATTAAGGGGTGTGAAATTATCGAGAACAAGGCGGTAACGTGCACTGATTCACCCTCATTACCCCATGCTTACGATACGATCCAATCACCGTTACAAATTAGACGCGATCGCGGCATCCCTTGTTCAATCTTGACGCGACATAGGCGTCCAAGCCCAACATGCTTGCCTTGACGCGCTGTCGCTTCCTTCTGAAGCAAGAACTCGTTTCTTTCTCTCACTGGCGCCGGCTAGACCTCTCAAGTTCGTTCTTTATGCGTAAGAATGCATCCGGGCTGCGCGTGCGGACAAGTAACCATCATCATGACGCGGCTGGCGGCAAATGCTGCCCACGGGGGGCCAAGTGCTACTGTGCTACAGCCCTTCCTTCCCGCTACAGTAAACTACTATGTCAATACAGAGAATCTCGATACCTGGAAATCATTGTTGAACATAGTTGCTGATATCATGATGAAAACGTGTACAGTTCCTGGGGTCAGCTGTGGTTGCCGAAACAGTGTGCACTAACCGCGTGAGCAGGCTCGATCCGAAGCTGTGGGGGTATCCCCTGGTTTACAACGAACTGGAGCTCTCCACTGATTGGTCCGCTTCCATCACCCGAAATCCCTTCCGCGAGAATTACCACTTCGCAGTGATCGCCAGCCCTCTGGGGTAACCTGCGGGAAAGTGGGTGGGAACATCAGGGTTACCCCCCAAGTGTGACCTGGGGGTATCCCACGCTTTCCAGCCGATATCGGCCTCGTGATTTTTGGAACGGTTCCCAAGGTCCTCCGAGAAATGTGGAAGGGTGGTTGGAACCTCAAAGCTCCAGCTCCATAAGCGGGCGTGGACGGCCTGAGTTGCGGGCAGTATAATATCGTTATCAGAAATCCATGGGTACAGTGTTGCGATGACTGTTACACGCTCGGTACTGTTCGGTGGGTGAGGTACGCGAAACATAGTGCAGCGCGGCCCTGGCTGGAAGCAGCGACCCCCGCAGAGCTATTCGCCGTCGCGGAAAAGGAAAACTGCGATTTTGGCCTCCCGAAGGTTTTTCTGCGAAAATGTTGCGGAAATGTTGCGCGAAGTTTCCAAAAACCAGCGCACGCAAAACGCAACCTCCTGCACACAATTCGCGAATGCGCACACCGACGCAAAAATGTCACCACAAAGTTGCTTTCCCATCAACATCTTCGCGTCCCTCGGTGTCGCGCGGTCCAGATAGTTTAGAAACGGTTCGGCAGATTACAAATTTCAGCGAGATGTAACCAGAGAATTAACGAAGAAAAACGAACCACCGGAAACCCCACGAAATCCAGCGAAGCTGGAAAGTGGATACATAGTTTTCGTTTAGGCTCGAATGTGAACCCCATCCACCCAACCCAACCCACAGACGCCATCTGGTTTCTTCCGAAGGTGTGACGTGTTACCCATAAAACCATTTTGAGCCAATCTGTTGATGCCGTAAGCAGTAAATAAATAAATCACCCGCCGTTATGTACACGTTAGCACCCCACCAAACCAAACCAAACGTCCACCAGATATACCCTCCGCTTCATTTCTCCCCTGATTCCCCTCTACGCCAGTAATACTCGCATACTAATATCCACAATCATTAAAGTTAAATTGGATTTGGTATCGAAAAAAAGTAAACAGGCTCTAGTAAAACCCTTCATAGGAAATTTTTAGTATCTCGAACCTAAAAATACCAAGACCAAAACCCCAAACCAAGTTTTGCTTCCTATGACATCTACAGCCGCATGTCGACCAAGTATGGCACGTCCACCTATGGTGCTCCCTCCCCGAACTCCTGCTCCTCACCCCCTCGCTCTACCCAGTCCACCTCGGACGCACCCAACGTGTATGCCGCTCGCAAAAGTACCACCCGAGCCTGTGCCCTCTGCAAAGCTACCCCTACCGCTGCTGTCAAATACCCCACCAAGTATTCCGAGAAACCCGAGCTGTTGCCCCTTCACACAATCATCCTGATATTCCCCCCCTCTTGATTTTTTTGGGTTGCGGAGCAACCTATTGCAATCGAACTGAATCAAAATTATCCTCAAAGAAAAATGTAAAATAACTAGAAATACTGGTAAGTTTGTTTAGGCTACTGATAAACTTGATGATCTTATCATAACGATCATACTTGTTTTTCTTCATAATTAATTGCTAACTCGTTCTTTTGTAACGCTCAAGATTCTGAAATTTAGAGTATGTGGAGAAATGCAATGACCGACCAAACGATTATTGCATTTCTCATATTCATCAAACAATCTGATGAATGTGTAAGTCCTAAATTTATACTACCGCTTCCCCCGCCTAGCATGTCGGGGAAGTCAGCAATATAAACGTTGAATTAAAAAACCAACAGAGCAATACAATCTGTATATCCCAAAAAAAATATCTACACCGATCAAGTCCAGCTGAAAATGGCTTCACTGTCATAGTCGTGCACCACTCAAGCTTTTGTGACGATGATCGGCAAGATATATTTTTGAAACATGCAGACATGCATTACGATTGCAACGAGAAGAAGCATAATACAACTAGAAATGAAACAAATCAAACAATCATTCATAGTCAAAATAACTAAAAACAATATGCACTGTAAGTTGTACGAGACACTTCCTTCCTTCCATTCCATCCTGCCTATAAACCAGTATCTGCGATAAGATAAAAGAAGAAGCATCGGATGCTTGAAAAAAGATGTAATATTAGGAGAGAATGAAGAGAATGACTGTAAAATATAATTGAAACATCAAGACAGAGAAAATCCCAGAACGAGAGAGAGGGAACGAGAGAGCGCGAACGAGAGAGGGAGAACAAGAGAGAGCGAACGAGAGAGAGGGAACGAGAGAGAGCGAACGAGAGAGAGGGAACGAGAGAGGGAACGAGAGAGAGAGAAAGAGAGAGAACGAGAGAGAGAGAACGAGGGGGAGAGAGAGAGAGAACGAGAGAGAGAGAACGAGAGAGAGAGAGAGAACGAGAGAGAGAGAACGAGAGAGAGAGAGAGAACGAGAGAGAGAGAGAGAGAGAATGAGAGAGAGAGAGAACGAGAGAGAGAGAAGGAGAGAGAGGGAACGAGAGAGAGAGGACGAGAGAGAGGGAACGAGAGAGAGGGAACGAGAGAGGGGGAACGAGAGAGAGAGAGAGAGAGAGAGAGAGAGAGAACGAGAGAGAGAGAGAACGAGAGAGAGAGAACGAGAGAGAGAGTGAACAAAAGAGAGAGAACGAGAGAGAGAACGAGAGAGAGAGAACGAGAGAGAGAGAACGAGAGAACGAGAGAGAGAGAGAGAGAGAGAGAGAGAGAGAGAGAGAGAGAGAGAGAGAGAGAGAGAGAGAGAGAGAGAACGAGAGAGAGAGAACGAGAGAGAGAGAGAGAGAGAGAGAGAGAGAGAGAACGAGAGAGAGAGAACGAGAGAGAGAGAGAGAGAGAGAGAGAGAGAGAGAGAGAGAGAGAGAGAGAGAGAGAGAGAGAGAGAGAGAGAACGAGAGAGAGAGAACGAGAGGGACAGAGAACGAGAGAGAGAGAACGAGAGAGAGAGAACGAGAGTGAGAGAACGAGAGAGAGAGAGAGAGAACAAGAGAGAGAGAACGAGAGAGAAAGAACGAGCGAGAGAGAACGAGAGAACGAGAGAGAGAGAACGAGAGAACAAATGAGAGATAGAGAGTTCAATAAACTACGGTTTCGAAAGAAACCGATGTATGTATCAAATCGGGCTGCAACAATTCAGAAGAAGGAACGGGTGGA